GAAGATGGCGTGCCCATCCCGATTCCTGGAGGGGGCGGCCTCAGCCTTGGCGGCGGTCGCGCGTCGGGCGCCAGGCGGTCGTACCGGTCCAGTTCGAGGGCGGCGAGCACGCGGCCGTCGAGCGGGCTCAGCTCGAGCGTCGAAGAGGAGGACGACGACCAGGCGCGGCCAGACTCGGACCTCGACGAGACGATCAGCTCGCTCATCCGTCGGCCCTCGGCCGATGCACCTCGCCCTTCGTTGGACGAAGGGTCCGCGGTGGCGGCGGCGGCGACGGGCACGGACGCGGCGGCATCTGCACCGGCCGTGACGCTGACTGGCGCTCCTGCGGTGGCGGATGCCGGCGCTGCGGAGCGAGACATCAGCGCAGGCGATCTGCGCAAGAGCGTGTCCAGCGGCGGTGTCGCTGCTGGCACTGCTACGGCCGACAACTCTGGCTCGTCGCTGCGGCGGTCCGAGTTTGACTCGGACGACGATGACCTCGACGAGGACGAGGACGACTTCAGCGACGAGGACGAGGACGACGAGGATGACGAGGACGACGACGAAGAGGAGGCGGACTCGGAGGTCGAGGCCGAGACGAGCATCTACCGCTCGCAGGCGGCCAACAAGACGCCAATCAAGTGGCACAAGGGCGCGCTGATCGGCGCCGGATCGTTTGGCAACGTCTTCCTGGGCATGAACGCCAAGACGGGCCTGCTGATGGCCGTCAAGCAGGTCGAGCTGCCGTCGGGCGACTCGCACCTCGACCAGCGCAAAAAGGGCATGCTCGAGGCGCTTGAGCGCGAGATCAAGCTGCTCAAGACGCTGCAGCACGAAAACATTGTCCAGTACCTCGACTCGTTTGCCGACGGCAGCCACCTCAACATTTTCCTCGAGTACGTGCCCGGCGGCTCGATTGTGGCCTTGCTGCGCAACTACGGCGCCTTCGAGGAGCCGCTGGTGCGCAACTTTGTCGGCCAGATCCTCAAGGGCCTCAGTTTCCTCCACGCCCGCGACATTGTCCACCGCGACATCAAGGGCGCCAACATCCTCGTCGACAACAAGGGCGGCATCAAGATCAGCGACTTTGGCATCAGCAAAAAGGTCGAGAGCGACCTGCTCGTCAGCGCGCGCGCCCACCGCCCCAGCCTGCAGGGCAGCGTATTCTGGTGAGTGGCGCTGGAAGAGCGGTAGAGGAGACGAGCGACGGTCGACTGATCGGAGAGCACCTGGTTGACATTGGCATTTTCGGCTTTCTTGATTATCCTGGTCCCCGCGCGCAGGATGGCGCCCGAGGTGGTCAAGCAGACGTCGTACACGCGCAAGGCCGACATCTGGTCTCTGGGCTGCCTGGTCGTCGAGATGATCAGCGGCACACACCCGTGGGCCGAGCTCAACCAGATGCAGGCCCTCTTCCAGATCGGCATGTCCAAGAAGCCCACGATGCCCGACGAGATCTCTGCCGAGGCCGTCGACTTTCTCAACAAGACGTTTGAGCTGGACCACACGCTGCGCCCCTCGGCCGACGAGCTGCTGCAGCACGCCTTCATCACCGACGACTACACGGGCGTCGCTGGCGGCGAAGGGGCGGGCGAGGCGGCCGGCACGGGTGCTGTCGGTGCCTCGACGTCGTCGTCGACCACAACGCCTACCGCCGCCACGTCGACCGTGACGGGCACCACGACGACGACGCTGGTCGAGGGCGACGAGGATGCGGCCGAAGCCAAGGAGTCCTCTGCCGCCGCCGCAGCTGCATCTACTGCTGCTGCGGCGACTACTACGGCGGCCAAGGAGGGAGGGGGCAAGCTCAAGAGCCGGGGCACGCTCAAGCGGGATCGCAAGGAGCGGGGCGAGAAGAAGGACGACGCAGCCGGCGCTGCCGCCACCGCTGCCGCTACTGCTCCCCCTACGACAACGACCGCGACGGCCGCAACGACGTCGCCTCCCACCATTGTCGTGGACAAGGACAAGGACGAGGGTAAGGATGCAAACGGCATCGACCGGGACCGGGACAGGGATGAGAGCAAGAAGGAAGACGGTCTGGCGGACAAGGCCGAAGGTGCCGAATAGACGAGGACCGCGCCTTGGGATGAGGCGCGTCCCCTCAGCCTTGGTCCGTGGCCTTGCGGACGAAAGGGGGATCGGACAAGGGAGGAAAGGGCCATGCCTCGGACACGGATCCGATGCGGTGCGATCGAGCGGATCGACGCGGGTAGAAGCAAGCAGCATTGACCATCATACATTTCGCAAACTACCGCTACCGTGCCACCTGCCACCTGCCTCCTCCTTAGCCGCGATCGACCTGGGGCGGACGGGCGGGAGAGCTGAGCCGTCGGAAGCGCCTGAAGAGGTGCGAGGCGGGCGTGTCGTGACGGGGCACCGCGGATGGCGCGACCGAGGGGGAGGACGAGGATATCGCATCGTCGGCCGCATCATGGCCCCCTCCCTCTCCCTCGCCGTCGCCGTCGTCGTGGTGTTCTTGATCCCATCGCCGCTGCATTCTCGTCTCGACCTCGATCGACCTCTTGGACGACGATGCCGCCGACGGCGACGACGACGACGACAATGTGGCAGGACGAAGGCTTCCCCCGCTCCTCTTTCGCAGCCGGCCCACGCCGAGCGCGCCAAACCGCTGGGCGGCACGGACGCGCTTCCTCTCTCGCCACTTCGCCTTCCACACAGCCATGGCCCCGTGCTTGACCTTGTCCTCGTCGCGCTCTTGGGCGAGGCGCGACCGACGCTGATTGGGCAGCGCGCGGATCCACTGGTGCAGGGCCAGACGCTTGAGGTTGCGGTTGCGCAGCCGGATGGCGGGCAGCGCCGTCGTGCGCTCCTGCCACACGCGGAGGAGGCGCAGCACGCTGACCTCGTGGTGCTTTAGCGTCACCTCGTACTCGATGCTGCGCAGCGTCGATTCCAGGTACCGCCCTCGCCACGTCTCGAACCCCTCTAGCAGGCTGGTGTGGCGCCGCCCCGCGAGGAACGAGGACAGACGCTGCCTCCGATCCCGCTCGGCCCGCGCCCGCGAGAGCCAGACGGAAAAGGCGCGCTGCACCTGCGCGGCGCGCTTGAGGTCGACGTGCGACTGCACCAGGTTGAGCATGTCGTCGTGCTTGAGGCAGAGCGAGATCCAGTGGTAAAAGGCCGCCTGCTGCTGCTTGAGCCGCCGGTACAGGGCGGCATTGAGCTCGGCGTTGCGCCGCTCGATGGTGAGGTGCAGCCAGTGCTGCAGCGCCTCGGCCCGGAGGCGCCCGTCGCGCCGCGAGACAAGGTGCGATACCCGCGCCTGGTCCTGCCGCCGCTGCGATAGGCGCGCCTTCCACCCGCCTCACGTTGCCACGGCCAGGCGGACGTCGCGGTCGGATAGCAGGGCTTCCAGCCGTGCTTGCCGGAGGCGCGCCGTCCAGACCGATAGGGCGCGCCGCTGCACCATCGCTCGGCCGGCGACGACGGCCTGCCGCTCCCTGGCGCCCTGGGCCTCGACCCTGCCCCTCCACAGGTCCAACAGCGTGAACCGCACCCTCGCCGCATCGGTATCGACCGCGAGGCGCTGCATGCCCAAAACGTTCGAGCAGCGCTGCCGCCAGTGCTCGAGGGCCATCGCCAGCGTATTCTCGCGGCGTCGCGCGCCGACCGTCGATTCACGCTGGGCCAGGCTGGTGGTGAGTGCTCGATGGTGCTGCCTCCACTGCGCAAACATGGCTTCCAAGGCTCGCGCATCGCGCACGCGCACGAGCAGCGTGCCGCGCTCCAGCGCCACCCAGATCGAGAGCGCCGATGCCAGCCTCGCTTCGCCGACCTGCTCGACGAAGCGGTCCGCCCGATGCACCAGCTCGACCAGCGACGACAGCCGATGCCTCCAGTGCTGCAGCGCCGACCGCTTGGACCGCCGGTTCCGCCACCGGTCGGCCAGCGCCTCCTTGCGCCTCTGCTCTGCGGCGACGTGGCGTGCCTCATTCCAGCCGACGAAGCCGGCCGTCTGGAGGCGCCGCCGCTCAAAGGCCTCGGCGAGCTCGCGCAGCAGCGTCTGCTTGCGCCACAGGGCGAATGCGCCGGCCACCAGGTGGCGATCGACGGCGACGGTGAGGGTGTTATGCCAGATCGAGAGCATGGTCCGACGGTGCCACTCTGTCCAGGCCGCATCGATCAGGCGGAAGCGGTGGCGCTGGACCACCTCGAACTCCTGCGCGGCGAGGTTGGCAGAACGGGCCAGCCGGAGCTGCCAGATGGCAAATGCGCCCTGCTGGAGGTGACGGCGTCGGATGGCGTCGGCGACGCGTTCGAGGTAGAGGCCGCGCCACGCCTGGTAGCTATCGCGGACGACGTGGCGCTTCTGCCGCTTGGTCACCTGGTAGTAGGCCTTGTGCAGCGCGCGCTTCTTCTCGTCCTGCTTGGCCGCCTGCCTCTGCCGGCACAGCCGCCGCCACCTTCGCCACGCGCCCAGCTTGCACCGCACCTGGTCGATCCTTTCGGCGCGAACCCGCTCGGCCGACTCTTGCTGCGCCGTCTCCTTCCAGCGGTCCCAGCTCCGCGCCAAGACGATGCGGTCGTGCGCCTCGGACGCGTGCCGGACCTGCTCGGCCTGCCGGCGCGCGACGGTGAGCCACCACTGCAGGCAGGTGCGCAGCAGACGGTGCGCAAACACCTCGTCGGCCCTCCTGGCCTCCTCGGACCACTGCTGCTCCTCCTCGGCCTCCTGCCGCGCGATCCTGGCTCGGCGGAGGGCCTCGCGCTCGGCCTGAGAATTGCGCACCACCTCCTGGAACCGACGCTGTGCGGTCGAGGGCAGACCCGACGGCGACGACGAGGCGAGCGCGCGCGTCGAGTCTTCCGGGTCCGACATGGAGGAGTCGAATCGTTGTCCTCGCGCCTCGCTGTCTTCCGGACCTCCGCTCTGAATTCGCATCCTCTGCAGCCGGGAGCGGACCGAGTCGAGCGGTTCCGTGTCCGATCGTGGTTCGGCTTCGGCGAAGCCGTCGACGCCGAGCTGGAGCATGCGGCGACGCTCGATGCGTTCGAACGACGACGAGCGCGGCGAGTCGAGGCGGTCCTCGTGCGAATTGGCCCGCAGGCGCGGTCGCGATGGTCCGGCCTCGGCATCGCCGCGACGCCGGGACGGCCCCGGCGCGGTGCCGAAACGGGAATTACGCTCGACGACCTCAGGAACTGCTGCTGCTTCGTGCCTTGAGTGCGGAACATCCGCCTTGCGCTTCTGTCCAGCCATACGCTGGTGATGGGACGCGTCCTCTTGCTGCCGCCGCGGGGTCGCTGCGTGGGTCAATGTAGGGCGCCGCTGCCACGGGTGTCGGTTTGGATCGCTCGATGAGTCTTCAGCCGAGGCGGATGGCGACTTGGACGAGGCCGAGTCGTCCCCTTCGTCCTGGCTCTGGGTGGTCTGGCCGGTCTCGTCGCCGCTGCTCCTGGGCTCGAGGCCGAGGGCCATGCGGACCGAGTCCCACCGCTCCTTCCAGTCTCGCCCTCGCACCTTGACCAGGCTGAGTAGGCACGACCAGAGATTTGTGTCCCACTCCTGCTCTTCGTCCGAGCCGTCGCCATCCACCATGCCCCCATCGACAGCTGCTCGCTTGCCTGCATTGCGGCCGGACCTGGCCCTGCCCTCGATCTCGGAGGCGACGACGACGTTGTAGGCCGCTTTCAGCTGCGCAAAGTCGGCGGCGTGCGATGGGAGGAGGTCGATGACCTGGTCAAAGAAGCGGACCTCATGCTGGCGGAGCGAGGAAAAGGCCTGGGTGATCGAGAAGCGCGAGGTGGCCGAGGTCGAGGCGGTGCGGTCCGACGTGGCCGAACGGGTCGAGTTGGCCGTCGAGACGCCTGTCCGGCTCGACGAGACCGAGGCCTGTAGGGGCTTCTGCGACAGCGGCGAGGGATAGGCGGGGCGGTACGGCGACCTCTGCAGGTAGTGATGCGCCAGCGCGGAAGGGCCGGCCTCGGGCGACGTTGGCGCGGATGCCGGCCGATGGGGCACCGTTGGGCGGCGCTGCCAGGACATCCTATTCGCCCGCTCGCTGGTGCCGTCCGGTGGTAGAGAGGCGGCGGCGGCTGCTTGACGAGCAATGGGCTCTAAGTGGAGAGTGTTGAGGCGATCATGGTGACGGATGCAGACGTGTTGCGCGCCTGGTGGTTCGCAGCTGGAAGGTGGTGAATCGTATGCGGTAGCGAAGGCCGGGAGATCGGCATCGACGGAGACCAACACCAGCAGGCCGGCAGGCGGCAGCGCCGACGCGACACGCCCAGCGCCCTGTTGAACCCTGCATGCCAGGTCTCGGGACTCGGCGGTGGAGCAAGCTTAAGGAGCAAGGAGAGACCGAGACAGCGGCGGCTGCCCCTGCCTGCTGCTGCTGAGGGTATGTTGGTGGCCCTGCTTGGCGGTCCTGCCTCATCTGTCGATCTGCTCTTGCCAACCTTTTGCACTGCCTGGCTTGCCGATCGTCTAACGGCCATCCCGACAACGCACCCTTGCGCCGCCTCCTTCCATCGCTTCCCGGAACCCTCGCTCCTGTGGCCGTCAGATGTCATCGGACCCCGTCGGCGCCGCCATCGCCACGGCTGGAGTTCCAGACGAGCGTGCCGACCTACACTCGTCGGCCCTGGCCCACGACACGGCACCTTCCGAACACATCCTTTCATCCTCCTCGCCAGGGGCAGACGCAAATGCAAACGGCAAGGGAAAGCAGCGGCAGACACGGTATGACAGCGACGGGGACGACGATGACCTCGTCGTCTTCGAGTCCGGCGCGGCCCTGCCGAGATTAGCGGCCCTCGATGGCGACGGGGACGGCGAGGACCACGAGCAAGGCCTGGGTCAGCGGCCGGGAAGCCTGGCAAAGATCGGCGAAGGCCTCGCCAGGGCTAGCATGGAGAGCCTGTCGTTTGGCTACCGAGACCACCTCCTGCCGCTCAGCCTCAGTGCCCAGGACGCCGACGCCAGCTGGGAGGCGGGCGACTACGGCGACGTCGAGGGCGCCGTCAGCGTATCGGACGCGACACGACGGTCGCGGAGAGGAGGCTCAGGCGCACATCGGTCGCGGCGGTCGCTCGATGGCTCCCGGCACCAAGAGCGGCGGGTCACGCTGCTCGACGGCATCGCGCTCACCGTCGGCGTCCAGATCGGCAGCGGCATCTTCTCGTCTCCGGGCGTCGTGACGCTCAACACGGGCTCCATCGGCGCCAGCCTAGTCGTCTGGATGCTGAGCGGAGTGCTGGCATGGACGGGCGCCAGCTCCTATGCCGAGCTAGGTGCATCGATCCCGCTCAATGGCGGCTCGCAAGCTTACCTCAACTACTCGTTCGGCCCGGGGACCGCCTTTCTCTTCACCTGGTCGGCCCTCGTTGCCCTCAAGCCTGGAGCAGGCGCCATCGTTGCCACCATCTTTGGCGAGTACATCGCCCGCGTCCTGTACCACGTCACCAGCAAGGACCCCGCCCACCCACACGAAAAGGGCCTCGACGAGATCCCCGGCTGGAGCGTCAAGCTCATCGCCTGCCTGATTGCGCTCGTCGTCACGCTGCTCAACGCCTTCAGCAGCAAGCTGGGAACCCGCACCCAGATCGCAACCACCTCCGTCAAGCTCATCGCCCTCGCCGCTGTGCCCATCCTCGCCATCGTCCAGGCGGCGAGGGGAAAGGTGTCGACCAGCTCGGCCCACGCCTTCAGCTCGATCCCGCACCTCTTCGAGGGCTCCTCGACCAACCCGAGCGCCTATGCTCTGGCGCTCTATAGCGGATTGTGGGCCTATGACGGCTGGGACCAGAGCTGCTTTGTGGCCGGCGAGATGAAGGTGAGCCGTGCCGCGCCGCGCCGCGGGCCATTGACCGGTTCCATGTCCATGTGCAGAGTCGCTGACCCGGCCTCCCTGTCCGAACCCTTCGCTGCAGCGCGTCGAGCGGGACCTTCCGCGGGTGATCCATTCGAGCCTGTCAATCGTCATCGCCATCTTTCTCGCCGCCGTCACGTCCTACTTTGTGGTGCTGCCACCGGATCTGGTCAAGCGGACCAACACGGTGGCGCTCGACTTTGGCTCGGCCATCTTTGGCACGACTGGCGGCGTCGTCTTCGCCTTCCTGGTGGCTTTCAGCTGCTTTGGCGCGCTCAACGGCCAGGTCTACACGACGGCGCGACTGATCCTCGCCGCGTCGCGTGAGGGCTACCTGCCCGCCTCGTTCGGCGACCTCAACCGGCGGACAAAGACGCCGCTCAACGCGCTGCTGCTGCAGCTCGTGCTCATCGTCATGTTTACCGTGTTCGGCTCGGGCTTTGCGAGCCTGGTCAACTTTTACGGCGTCTGCAGCTGGACGTTCTACCTGGCCACGGTGCTCGGTCTGCTCGTGCTGCGGATCAAGGAGCCCAATCTTCAGAGGCCATACAAGGTAAGCCAGAGCGGATGTACGAATCTGGCCATGGAGAGCGACGTAGATTGGCAGGCTGACTTGCTTCGCCCTTGTCGTCACCCCACTGCAGACCTGGCTGCCGACACCGATCCTGTTTGCGGGTGAGCCGACGCCGTTCCTCTGCCAGCGCGCGCGTTCACTACCCGCGGTGCCCTCTCGCTGACACTCCTGCCAGCCATCGCCTGCTCACCCGACAGCCGTGGCCCTCTTCCTCCTCCTGATGCCCGTCGTGTCGGCGCCGCTCGAGGCGCTGGCAGCGTTTGGCTTCATCCTGGCGGGGGTGCCCGTTTACTTTGCGACGCAGCCCGAAGCTCGGCGGCGGATCCCGGGCCTCTCGCGTCTCTTCCGATCTCGCCAGGCGGCCACAGCAGACTCGGACGTTGTTCCGCTCAGCAAGGCGGCCCGGCACGACGACGACGACGACGAGGCCGGCGAAGAGGCCGTCGAGATGCTGCCGCGCGAAAGCTTGGCCGGGTCGGCCAAGGATGCCGAAGCAGACGGCAGGTAGAGCCAGCATCCCTTACCGGACCGCATTCTAAGAGATGCCGCTAGATGGACTACCCACATCATGGGAGCTTACAGACTGGAATCCGCATGCCATCCGTCACCATGAGCATGCATCCACCATCCAGGGGAGGAAGCAAGGCCAGGCGGCGACGCCTTCGGACCACGAGCCTCGGTCTGTCGGCCGAGTGGCTGCCGACCCCCGAAAGCCGGGCCTGAGGCTCAACGGTGGGGAGTTGAGTGGGGACCGGGAGATGGCCCGCCCGCCTGCCTGCCCGCCCTGCTGGCCGTGAGCCTGGCGGCCTGCGTGCCTGGCCTGGCCCCGACCGAGGTCAGGGTTTCGAGGAAGTTGTGAAATTTTTCGGCGGGCAGCCAGCGCTGGCTTGCTGCGAGCCAGCCAGGCGCTGGCCTCAGGGCGGGCTAGCCAGGCCCTGGCGAGCACACGCCGCACGCACGCACGTTCTGCTGCCGCCCGTTCCTTCTTGCTGGCAGCTCGGTTCTCGTCGAGGCTTCCTGACCCTTTCTCTCGTCGCCACCACCACCACCACTCCTCCTTTCTCCCTCAGGTCGAGCCTGCTCGTACCGTATACCTATCACCCCCGCTCCAGGCTCATCCCTTCCAGTCTCGCCGCTGTCTCTGTCGACGAGGCGTCTCAAGCAGAACGTTGCTCGCTCGCTCGCCGCTGTCACCGCCGCTGCTTTTTAGACTCTGAGAGCCCCTGGCCCGTCCTAGACCGCCACCATCGCTCTGCGGTTTCTTCCCTGAGCTTCTCACTGCCCTAGCTACGCGCGCTGCTCTACCGCCACCACCACCACCACTCTTATCTGCTTGTCACCGCACCCACGCATTCAAAAGAAGAACGGTCACACCCGTCTTCGACCTCTCACGAAACAAGAAGGCCAACTCTCCTGCCCGGACCCGAACCAGCCTCACCAATACTGTATCGATAGGCCGCTCCTCCTGCTTGCATCTCCCTTTTTCCAAAAATGGCCGACGCTTCTTCCCAGCCCAACGGCAGCGCCGCTGCCGCCCCGCCCGCCGACCTCATCAAGGCGCTCCTCGCCGCGCCGTCGGCCGAGGACTGCCACCTGGCGGCCGAGCAGATCTGCAACCACGTCAACGCTGCGGGCCTGCGCAGCCTCGAGTCGGACAAGATCCTCGACGCCCTCGTTAAGGCGTCCAAGAACAAGAAGAGCGGCTACGAGCGCGAGGCGGCCGCCATCGGCCTCGACGCCGTCTTTGTCAAGGTCGGCGGCAAGAACGCGCCCAGCCCGCTCGGCGCAGAGCCGTGGCTCATCTCGACGCTGCCCGCCATCCTCGACCTTTACGCCGACAAGGGCGATGTGGTGAGGGAGGCTGCCGAGTCGGCCGCCTCGTCCCTCTTTGCCCTCTTCCCCGCCGAGGCTGCGCCCGAGCTGCTCGACGCCCTCTACGCCGTGCTCGACTCTGGCAGCGCCAAGTGGCAGGCCAAGATCGGCGCGCTCAAGCTGCTCGGCCGCCTGGCCAACTCGGCCAGCGAGCAGGTCGGCGAGCAGCTCGTCGAGCTCATCCCGCACCTCACCCACGCCATGCACGAGACCAAGGCTGAGGTGTCCAAGCAGGCGTTCAAGACGACGATCAAGGTGTGTGAGGCGTGCCTCGACAACAACGACATCCGCCCCTTTATCCCGGACCTGGTCGGCTGCATGGCGCGCCCCGACTCGGTGCCGGAGTGCATCAAGAAGCTCTCGGGCACCACGTTTGTCGCCGAGGTCACCGGCCCGGCGCTCGCCGTCATGGTCCCGCTGCTGGAGCGCGCGCTCAACGAGCGTAGCCAGACCGTGCAGCGCCAGACGGTCATTGTCGTCGACAACCTGTGCAAGCTGGTGCGCGACCCGCACGAGGCGAGCCGGTTCCTGCCCACGCTGACGCCCGGCGTCGCGCGGATCGAGAAGGGCGCCAGCTTCCCCGAGGTCCGCGACCACGCAAAGAGCGCCATGGAGACGCTGCGCGCCGCCACGGCCGCCGTCGGCGACGCGGCGCAGTCCGAGGACCCCAAGAAGGTGTTTGGCCAGGCCAAGAACGCCGCACTCGACGCCATCCTGGCCGCGGTGCAGCCCAACGTGGATGCGGCGCACCCCAACGTCAAGTCGGACAAGTGGGCGCTGGTCGGCCTCGAGTGCGTGGCCAAGCTGGTGGTGCGGCTGGCCGACAAGCGCATCGTCCAGGCGACTGCGTGGGACGACGTCTACGTGCTGCCCTACTTCCGCCGCGTCTGCGCGTCGGCCGAGGCGGCCCAGGCGGCCACCGACGAGCTGCGCAAGGTCTACGTCGAGCTCGACAAGGTGCGCTTCGGCCAGCCCGAGGAGGAGGACGACGACGCGGCGGGCGAGTGCCTGTGCAAGACCGAGTTCTCGCTGGCCTACGGCGGCCTGCTGCTGCTCAACCACACGACGCTCAAGCTGCACCGCGGCCACCGCTACGGCATCGTCGCCGCCAACGGCAGCGGCAAGTCGACGCTGCTCAAGGCGATGCGCGACGGCAAGGTCGAGGGCTACCCGACCCAGGACCAGGTGCGCACCATCATGGTCGAGCACAGCCTGCAGGGCGAGGACGGCTCGACGCCCATCATCGACTTTATCGCCAACGACAAGAAGCTGGTGGGCAAGACGCGCGAAGAGGTGGCCGCCCGGCTGCGCGAGGTGGGCTTCGACGACGAGAAGCAGCAGAACCCCGTCGCCTCGCTGTCCGGAGGCTGGAAGATGAAGCTCGAGCTGGCGCGGGCGATGCTGTCGGACGCCGTCGTCTACCTGCTCGACGAGCCGACCAACCACCTCGACGTCGGCTCCGTCGCCTGGCTCGAGAACTTCCTCGTCTCCAACAACCAGATCACCGTCGTCACCGTGTCGCACGACAGCGGCTTCCTCGACAACGTCTGCACCGACATCATCCACTACGAGAAAAAGAAGCTGCGCTACTACAAGGGCAACCTGAGCGACTTTGTCAAGACCAAGCCCGAGGCCAAGTCGTACTACTCGCTCGGCTCGTCGACGGTCAAGTTCTCGTTCCCGCCGCCCGGCAGCCTGATGGGCGTCCGCTCCAACACGCGCACCATCCTCAAGATGTCCAACTGCACCTTTACCTACCCGGGCATGTCGAAGCCGTCGCTGGTCGACACGTCGTGCGCCATCTCGCTCAGCAGCCGCGTCGGCGTGCTGGGCCCCAACGGCGCCGGCAAGAGCACGCTGATCAAGCTCCTTACCGGCGAGACGGTGCCGCAGGAGGGCAAGGTCGAGAAGCACCCCAACCTGCGCATCGCTATGATGGCCCAGCACGCCTTCCACCACCTCGAGCAGCACCTCGAGAAGACGGCGTGCGAGTACATCGCCTGGCGCTACCAGGACGGCCACGACCGCGAGGTGACGGAAAAGGCGTCGCGCAAGATGTCGGAAGAGGAAAAGGCGCAGATGGAGACGCCGATCAAGTCGACGTCGGGCGAGGTGCGCCGCGTCGAGTACATCGTCGGCCGCCAGAAGCTCAAGAAGTCGTACCAGTACGAGATCAAATGGCGCAACCTCGAGCACCGCCACAACACGTGGATCCCGCGCGAGCGCCTGCTCGAGCTCGGCTTCGACAAGATGGTGCAGCAGTTCGACGACTTTGAGGCGTCGCGCGAGGGCGCCGGCTCGCGCGAGATTTCCGTCAAGCTCATCCGCCAGCACCTCGAGGCCGTCGGCCTGCAGGGCGAGATCGCCCAGCACCACGCCGTCGGCGGCTACAGCGGCGGCCAGAAGGTCAAGGTGGTGCTGGCGGCGGCCATGTGGAACAACCCGCAGGTGCTGGTGCTCGACGAGCCGACCAACTACCTCGACCGCGACGCCCTCGGCGGCCTCGCCACGGCCATCCGCGACTGGGGCGGCGCCGTCGTCATCATCTCGCACAACATGGAGTTTGTCGGCGCCCTCTGCCCCGAGATCTGGAACGTCGAAAACGGCCGCATCACGTCCAAGCACCGCACCGACCTCGCCGACGGCGCCTTCCTCGACGAGTCGGCCGCCTCGACCCCTGGCGCATCGATGCCGTCGACGCCCCTGCCCGGCTCCGTGGCCGCATCCCGCCTCAACTCCAAGGCCGGCACCCCCATCTCGTCGGCGGCCGCCACGCCCGTCGGCTCCGACAACGAAGGCGCAGACGCCGACATGTCGAAATTCAAGGCGAAGAAGGGCAAGAAGAAGATGACGCGCAACGAGAAGAAGGCGCAGGAGGAGAGGCGGAGGCTGCGGCTCAGCCGGTGGCTCACCTACGGCGGCGAGCGCGAGCCCGACACCGACGACGAGTAGGCGACGGGTCGCTCCCCCGCCGGCCGCCTTTGCAAGCAACCGCGGCAGATTGAGGCCTACGACAGCTACGGTATTCCATAGACGCGCGCGCTCCCTTCGCTGGTAATAAATCCCTGCATCCACTCCTTGCGTGTCTGCGTGGACTCATCACGACGTGGCGTAACGTGGCGCCAGGCAGGCAGGCAGGCTTCGCAGCTCGTGGGTCGGGTGCCACACGCACGCGACAGGAAACAGGCAGGCCGACATTGCCGGCCAGGGAGTCGGGGCTACGGCCGGCCCACGATGGCAGGGGCTGGACCGGGAGCGGAAGCGTCAGGTCATGCGCAGCCCGCGCGTACGTTTGCGGGAGGGCCAGGCCAGGCCAGGCCAGGCCAGGTCAGGCCCGACGGCGCATGTAGTCCCGTGTGTCGAAGCGGCGCTGTTGCGTGCGTAGGCCTGCTGTCTGCGTGGTGCTTGCTGCCTTCCGGTAAGTTGTTCGGATGTGCCGCTGGCTGGCTTGCTGGCTCGCCGGCTTGCTTGCTTGCGGGCAGGCGGAGCGGGGCGTTGCGCGAGGCAAGCGACCGGCGTCGATTTCAAATCAGCCCCGCCCTCGCTCTCGCCCTCGCCCTGGCCCTCGCCCTGGCCTTATCTCTGGCGGGCGACGAGGGCCTTCTATCGGACCAATCAGCGAGCGGCATCGGATCGGATCGCATCGCCATCGCCATCGCCCGCGTCCACGCCCCACGCCCATCACCTTCCAGCCAGCTCACCAGCATCTCTCCCATCCACCACCAGCGTACGCGGGGCACCTACCACCTCGGTGCGGGCGCCGACTGACGCCTTTGTTGTGACTCGGCCCACGTCCATTGTACCACACCTGCCCGGCATTGTCCTGCTCGGTGGCCGCCACGTACTCTCGACTGCCGCCTGCTTTGGATCTCTGGCTGCTCCCCATCGGTTCCTGACGAACGGGTCGAAGGGATGCCATGTGCCACGGCAAGCTAAGAAGGCTGGCAGTTATCGCTGGAATTTCGCCGGCCGCGCGCAGAGAGCTAGCCAAGCTCGCTCGCTCGCTCGCTCACAGCCGACCCGCTTTGGAAATTCTCCGATGACCCTAAACCGCAGCTGGCTGGCTGGCTGCTGCTGAGATCGTTGGATTGAGCTCGCCGGTCCAAGGCTAGGGCCAGCTGGCCTCTAGCTGGATCTCCCCTCGAGGATGGTTGAGAAGCTGTCCGGATCAAGACCGAGGTGAGCGCCCCGACGCTGGCCTGCCTCGACATCCGGCGGTATCGGGCAGTCCGAGAGATGGCGACGACCGCCACCTGTTCTGCAAGGTCCCCTGCCTCGCCTTGCCTCGCAGTGCGGCCCTTGACCTGGGCGGAGTCTACCGACCTCTGCTCAAAGTCGCGACTGGCCAACGACGGCGGACACTCCACTCTAGCTTACTCCTGCCGACGAGCGAGCAGCAGCAGCAGGCCTTGGCTGGCCGGCCTCCTCGCTCGCTCGACGAGGGAAGTCAAGGCAAGCCAGCCTTGCTGTCTTGGATCTTAGCTTGCTGCTGGTTTCAAGAGGCAGCGGGTAGAGAGAGGGAGAGACAGCGACGCCAAGCGTTTGGGACGTCGCCCGAAAGGGTTTCGCGGCCTCAAGGGATCGCCCGGCCCATGTCTTCGACCGAGGAGATGCATGGCGGCCAGCCCAGCCTCACAGGCCAGCCTGGGCATCGGAGAATCCCGTCAGAAGCAAGCAGGCAGGTGCTTGGGCTCGCCATGGCCGGCGGCGTAAATGCGCTCGCTCGTCGACCCGATTCGTCGGGAGGAGCCCGCCTGCACGGCCGGGCAGGCGCGCTCTGACTGAGCCCACCGCGAAACGGCAGGCGGCGCAGTGGTACTTACCGTAGCTCTGCGAAGAAGCCTAGCTAGAGGCCTATGCTGGGTGATGGCGAGATGGGCAGGGCGAGGCGTGCGGCACCTTGGGGCTGGCACCCTGGCCCGGGCTTGCCTGCCAGGCCACGCCAGGCCACGCCGACGACCCGCGTGCTCTTCTGCAGAGGCGAGCAGCGGCTTTTCTCAGAAAAAGAACCAGGCGCGGCCTCGCAGGGCAGGCCAGCCAGGGTGCCAGGCACAAAGGCTGGCTGGCGGACGTGGGCTGGCCAGCGGGCTGCCTGCCTGCCTCGAGGCCATCCGGCAGAGGCCGACGCTGGCCCGACGCACAGCGAGCGGCGCAAGGTGGGGCCTCGACTGGGGCTGGGCGGCTGGCTTCGTTTCACGCCCCTGCCCCCCCCCTCGCTGCCTTGCTTGCTTGCTTGCGTCGCTGCCTCTCTTCCAACCCACTCAAGCTCGACGTCCCCCCACAACACCCTCTTCATCCATCCCCAAAGGCCCCGGTCATCACTACTGCCGAGCCAGCCATCTCCACGCACACGACAAACCACCGCAGCAGCAGCAGCAGCAGCAACGTCGAGCGGCTCGCCATCAGCAGCCTCTATCCGCCGTCCAGCTCACGGCACCGACCGGTCTTTGTTCGCCTCCTTGGCCCAGAAGAACGCCTGGATCTGCATCTCTGCGGCCGTCGCGGCTGCTTCGCTGCTAGCCATCGCCATCTGCCGCTACCGCCATCTCCGACAAAGTCTCCCGGCCGTCCTTGACTCCCTGCTTTCTACCGCTCCTTCCCGGCGCCCCGATCGACTCCTATCCCGCAACCGGTTCGCTAGGCTCGGAACTCAAAGCCACCTCGACCTTCTCCGAGATCCACCTTCAACTTCCTGCAACTACCCCGCCAGCCCGCTTCACTATCGCACGCCTCCAGCCGCTCAGCCCATCTGCTTAATACCGTGACGTCGTTCCGGCTCCATCCCGGCCCTTACCCTCGGCCGTCCCTGTCTCCGACCCCTTCACCTACGATCCTCTCCATCGGTATTGCAGCGGCTTGAACGGTACTCGATCAGCTGGCGCAGCTGGTTGGCTCACGACAGTCGAGTTCTCGTCCAAGGCATCATTACGCGATTGAAGCTCGTCACTCTTCAACCCAGTCTCTCAGGAACCGACCGCAGCCTCCTGGTCTCGGACCGTGTCGCAACCCGCATCCCGCTCGGCCGTCCCTTTCGATCGCCCCCTCGCTCTTTACGGAGCTGTACGATCTCACCTCGAGAGCTGGCATAGCCCAGTGCCTCGAAGGGCGGTCCTGGGGCTCGCCTCGAGGCCCCTTGACATCAGAGTGAGTCTTCCGGGCTTTGGCGACGGGCACGAGATGCTGTCGGCCCCTTCGATTGCCTGCATGGCACGATATGCCTCTGCAATGCACTCGAACGACGCACACTCGAGGGCTGCGGGGACAGCCAAAGAGGCGACACGGAGAGGACGAGCTCGAAGACCGTTGGCTCACACCCAGCTCCTGCCTTTCTCTTCTTCTCCCGTTTGCCTGTCTCGATAGACATGAGCGCAGCAGACCGCTCTTCAGCTAGACTGCCAGGCAGCAGCCACATCAGCTGGAAGAGTCCTTCGCCTCACCATCAAGCTGCCGGGACTCCGGCACCTTATCCAGCCCAGAGCACCACCTTTGCGGTCGATGGGTCAGCTTATGGCAGTGGCAGCATGACGCCCGGAGGCCCTTCACCGCAGATGTCGCTTCTCTCCCAAGCAATGCAGCAGCACATGGCACAGCAGCAGCAGCAGCAGCAACAGCACCCGCAGCAGCACCCGCAAATTGGCCAGATGCAAGGTCCCCCGGCGATCCCGTCTCACCACATCGGCAGTCCCCAGTCGGCGCACGCTGCACAGTCGTGGGCCGAGGCATCTGCATCGACTTCGATCCCCAGCGATGGTCGTCTCGCCGGGTTACACGGGCCAGGCTCGTTTGGCTTCCAGGGAGCCCAGAACGGCGCCTTCGGATCAAGCCCGGGCTCGTTCACCCACCCCGCCAGCTTTCAGCACCCTTCCACCATGCAGCATCACTTTTCGGGCAACACGCCAGGGAGCGCCCACAGCCGGCGGCCGAGCGGGCACAGCACTGCGCCCCACTCGACCGTGGCGAGCGCCGGCCCTTCGCGGGCGCCATCGCCGAGCAACTCGCAGGCGCGCCACCATTCGAATGCCGCCTTTGCCGGAGCGCACACGCAGGGATCCGCCGTCAATGTACCTTCGGGTCTGCATCGCGCGCTGCATCAACATGCACAGGTCCAGCCGCTGTCTTCCGGCTCCCTCGGCAGTCCTGGGTACGATGGCGAAGGCGCGGCGCTAGGATCCCAATCCTTTGGGCCGGGACTGTCGACGTCGCAGTCGACGATGCAGCCAGGCAGCTGGGCGCCGCAGTCGTTCACCTCGGCGCCGCAGCAACAGCCCTACGGCGCCTCGTTTGGCCAGGTCATCTCGTCCCACCAACAGCCTCAGATGGGACAGCAGCAGGCCTCGGGTCCCTACGGGCAGTTCAGCGAGTATCGCCAGCCTGCGGAGCTCGAAGCGCTGCTCTCGCCGGAAGCGGCCCCGGTCGAGTTCAATGGCTTCTTTGGCCACGACGCAGCGTCGACGCAGCCAACGCAACCCACTTCAGGTCGAGGCCCCGTGCCCTCGGCCCGGCCTGGCGGCCAGGAACCACGACGCAGCTACAATGGTGGAGCCCCAGGCCGTACCCTTAACCGCGGCCGTCAGGGTACCGACTTCTCCGACGAGTTTGGCAGCGGCGGTGGCGCCAGTTCGCTCGGCGGCAGCCTCACCATGAGCCGTCGCGGCTCGGCGGGGGCCGAGGATGCCGATGCCGACGAGATTGCGGATCCAGAGGAGATGTCGAAGAAGGATCCGCTCGCGACGCAAGTCTGGCGCATGTACGCCAAGCAGCGCTCTCAGCTGCCCAACGGCGCTCGCATGGAGGTGAGTTGCAGGACCGCTGCTACGTGAGGCTCGTGAGGGATGTCGAAATTGACGCAAGACCCGCTTCTGTCTGCGCTTTGTCCGCCGACCGCCCTGCCCGCAGAACATCACGTGGCGGATGATGGCCATGACGCTGCGGAAGAAGCGCGAGCAGGAGGCGGCCGAGGCCCGAGCGGAACAGGAGACGCGAATCAAGTCCGAGTCTGGCAGCCAGGGAGAGCTGAGCGCTCGGCACTCGCCACTGGCGCCCTCGCGCTCCCTGGCCAGCTCGCGCAGGAGCAGCGGCTCCAACCTCGTGCCCGAGACCGGCTTCGAAGGATCGGGAACAGACAGCGCCATCGGACCCAACGGCGCTGCGATCCTGCGCGGCCAGCTTCAAGGCTTCACGAGCATCCACCCGGGCCCCGACCACGGCGATGCCCGGGCCGGCGCCAACAAGGGCAAGGCTCGTTTCGCCGAGGTGATCGTGCAGGAGGAGGAGGAGCGCGGACGGCGCGGCAGGAGCCCGCGGACGCCGGAGCAGAGCACGTGAGTACCACAGAGGCCTTCCCACAAGATGCGCTGGCCAGATGGATCTAGGATCTTGATTGCCAGGGAACCAGCGACGGAACCTGTGTGTCTGGCAGCCGACAGGGCGAGATCCTTGCGCGGAGGCTGCGTGCATGCATTCTGATCACGGAGCCCCTCTCCCACACTCGTCCGTCCCGCGCGAAACCAACACCGACACTGCTACAGCCCCAACAGCGCCCAGGAGATCCAAGACTGGCGGATGAAGAGCAAGAGCCGGTCGAGGAGCCGGTCGGTCAGCGCCATGGACGTCGACTGGCGCGGCGTCAGCCGGTCCAGGTCGCGTCCGCCGCAGCGGCTCGATACGATCGCCGACGAGGGCCCCGATCCAAGCCTGCTCAGTCGTTCGGCGCCCGACTTCAACGCCTTCAACTTTGCCGAGATGGCGGGGCTCGACGACGACTTCTCGGCGCTCGACGAAGTCGACCTGGGCAGCCTGCTCAAGTTTGAGCCCGGCTCCGCGGGCTCGATGCCCTTCGACTCGATGATGCAGGGCCTGCAGGTGCCGCCGGGTCCGTCAGGCCAGCGGAGGACGCCCAGCACGGCGAGGAGAGCGCAGATGCAGAGCGCCTTCAAGTCGGCAGCGCATGCCGACCTCTTTGGCGGCGCCTGGCAGGATGACGGGGCCGAGGCAGAGCTCGGAGGCAAGAAGTCGAGCTACGAGATGGCGTCGATTGGCGCGGCCAACGCCTTTGGCGCGCCGTTCTCGAATCTGGACAGCATCCCGGGCATCGGCGACTTTGTCGGTCACGCCGCCAATCAGCATCCCGAGTATGGTTTCCTGCCGCGGCTGGTGAGGAAGACGAGCTTCGACCACAAGGTGCGCGAGCGCAGCCAGTCGCGAGGGCCACGGCGCGAGGGGCGCGGGGCCGGCGGCATCGACGCCTTCAACAACCGGAAGCGGCCCTTCCGCGATGAGCCGTCGCCGGCGCGACCGCAGATGCACATCCCGACGACCATCGACCAGCGGATCGCCGCAGGACTCTCGCGCAACCTGCCGTCGTTCGCATCGCAGGGCGGCGCCTCGTTCCTCCACGCCGTGCCGTCGACGACCTTCGACTTCTCCTTCCCTACGTCGAGCTCGGCATCGGCTTCGTTCTCTGCGGCGGCGGCAGGCTCGGGCAAGGCCGCAGGCAGCCAGCAACAACAGCAGCAGCAGCAGCAGCAGCAGATTCATGGTGCTGCCTCCGACTTCGACAACCTGCTCGAGGCGCTGACGTCGCAGGCCAACAGCCCGCTGCAGAGCCCTGGCACTTACCTGAGCAGCGGCCAGGCGTCAGCATCGCCGCAGGCCGCGCTCACCATCCCGCCGGCAACACCTGCCGTCGAGTTCCGCAGCGACCAACAGCGGCCGCAAGATCCGCACCAGCATCGCCAGGCCCAACAGCAGCAGCAGCAAGCCGGAAACGGCGTCGGTGGCCAGTCGGACCTCGAGGCGATCATGAACATGTTCTACAGCTCCGATGCCGGCCTGCCGCAGCAGCAGCCCTCGTTCACCCACGTCAACCCGAACCAGGTCTTTGCCGGGGCCGCGACGGGTCCCGATGCGATGGCGGCCTCGCTGGGTGGGCTGACGGCCTCGGGAGACGACAACTCGTCGTGGGCCTACAGCCCGACGAGCAGCGCCCCCTCGGCTGCGCCAACTCCGCCAGGTGTTCAGCACGCCTCGTACCAGTCGTCTCCGCTGGCCAGCAACGGTTCGCAGAGGCGCGAGTCTCCCCTCGACCAGCCGGGGCCGGCGGCCATTGCACCTCGGCTCAACGTGCAGCAGCTGCAGAAGAAGGCCACGCTCAACGACAGCAAGGGCAAACAGGGACCCTCCGCGCCGCCGTCCGGGCCTCCGAAAGCGTCCGGGCCAAAGGGCAAGTCGGACGAGGTAGGATTGTCGATGGTTTCCAGCGGTGCACGGCCGAGCAAACCAGCTGCGGCTGGGTCAGCAGGCAAGGATCTGCCGTCGTCGGCGTCGATGGCGACTGCCGATCCGCCGACGGTCTGCTCCAACTGCCAGACGACCAAGACGCCGCTGTGGCGTCGCGATCCCGAAGGTCTGCCGCTCTGCAACGCGTGTGGCCTCTTCCTCAAGCTGCACGGCGTTGTGCGTCCGCTGTCGCTCAAAAAGGACGTGATCAAGAAGCGCAACCGGGCCAATGGGGCAGCGCGTGCACGCAACGGCCTGGCGGGCTCGAGCAGCAGCGGCGGCGGCGGTGGTGGAAGTGGAGCAGGAGCAGAGCAGGGCCATGGACCGGGTGTGCAGAGGATCGCGAGCGCCGCAAGCGCTCCAGGGCCGCACCGGGCCAAGGGCGGCGCCTCGGGCTCGGTGGCGGGTATCCGTACGGGCAACGTGCCCATCGCGCCGGCTCCCATGCCGCCGGCGTCGTCGCCCAACAGCGGGCCGGGCGGCATCGGAAACTCCAAGGTTGAGATCAAGCGGCAGCGGAAATAGGGCGATGGCGACGATGACGACGACGACGACGACGACGATGGGTGATGGAGAGACGCGAATGGGCAGACACTTGAGAGTTGCTGTATGGTCGACATCTCAACCCTTTCACGATCCAGGCGGGGCCCGAGCCTGTTCTATCCAGGGTCGCGAATGCATGCATGCATGATCCTATTCTTCATCTTGATGCCAGCGTAGCGGCCGGTCGATGATGCTGGGATGTCGACGGCGGCGAAGCAGAGCGGGCGATGCCGCCGATCCGCGGGTCGACAGCCGGCCGGTCGAACACGAGACCCCGCATCGGGCTCGAGAGGGTGGTGAGGACGATGAGCGCACCTGGCTATGAGCTGCGACCAGGCTACGACTGACTACCTGACATCATCGTCCTTGCGTCCCTGCAGCGGTGTTTAGCATCGTCTGCCTACCCTGCCTGGTGTTCGGATCACTGGCGAAGGCATGATCTGCTTTGCATTGGGGCCTTTCTGGACAGGCTAGGACAGCCAGAGGAGCAGACGAGAGCGGCGTACGAGGTGCCTCGGAGCGAGGGCTGGGTGGCTCAGCCGATTCAAGATTGCGGTATGCGGGGACAGGTGCGAGCCAGCCAGCACAGCCCCACAAGGTGAGCGCGCTTCGAGGCGCAGGCCTGGCAGAGCTCCATCCAGCATCACGTTTCGTTGATCGGCGGACGGAGACTGGGCCCGGATATGGCCGAAGATGCGTCGTCGTCGTCGTCGTCGTCGTCGTCGTCGTGCGAAGCAGCTGCACAGCCCTGCCTGCCTGCCTGCTCGAGCGAGCTTACCGTAGCAAGCCTGGCCAGCCCAGCAGCCCCTCCTGCCCCTGCCTCCGCCCTGTTCATGCGAAAAGCACGGGCGGCGAGGCGAGTGCCGAGGCTTCCTGCCTGCGGTTTCTTGGCACCGTCCCGTATGCGCCCGCCCGCCCGCCTTCCTGCCCGCCTCCGCCTGCTCGCCGTGCCGCAGGCATCAGAGCCAAGCAGGCAAGACGGCCGCATCATATCCCCGTCGATGCCGAATGACGGTTCAGCCGAGTCGGCCGTCCTTCGCCACTCTGCTTCAGCTTCGCCACCACCACCACTTCGTCCAGCCCCTTTTACACACAGCCTTGTCCCCTGCTTCCTCGTCACCTCAGGGGTAGTAGCAGGCGTTTTCTTTCATCACGGCTTCGGTTCATCGACTGCTATAATACGGGCCACGTTGAACCCTCTACCACCGCCACATCGGCCCCCATCTCTCATTTTCACCAATTTCACGACACCAGCCACAGCAACAATGGTGAAGTCCACGCTACTCCCTTCGCTCCTCCTGGCGACATCGCTCCTCGCTGCATCCGCACCGGCCAACCCGCTACCCCTCGAAAAGGTCGACACCATCCACGGATTCAAGGTGCTACCTGCTGGCGGCGGCGGCGGTGGCGGTGGCGGACGAGGAGGTGGTGGCGGCGGTGGCGGTGGCGGTGGTGGACGCTCCAGCGGCTCCTCGTCATCCTCCGGCGGCAGCAAGTCTGGTGGCGGCACCAAGTCTGGCAGCGGCAGCAGCAGCAGCGGAGGCAGCCGTCCGGGCACCAGCAGCAGCGGCAGCAGCATCAGCAGCGGCAAGTCTGGCAGCTCTTACAGAGGCACAAACGTGCCCCGCCTGCCCTACAACCCAGGCGCCACGTACAGCTCGCGTGGCTTCTACCCGCCCTCGGGCTACCGGCCCTATGGCAGCCCTGCCGTCGGCATCGGAGCAGGTGTGGCGGCCGGAGCGCTGATCGGGTCCGGTGGCGTCAGCCACGGCTACCGCTACGGCAACCGCACAAACGACGACCAGGCGCCGATCAACGTCTTTGAGAATGCCACCTACGCCGACGTCGTCCAGATCGGCACGCACAACTCGTTTGCCATCGTCGGCAGCTCGATGGGCGACTTTGACTCGCAGTACGTCGGCATCCAGCAGCAGCTCGAGGACGGAATTCGCCTGCTCCAGGTCGAGGGTCACTCGGATGGTCAGGTTCCCAGCGACGGCAGCTCGTCGGCCATTTCGCTCTGCGTCAACGACTGCGCCACCAAGAATGGCGGTACCCTCGAGACGTTCCTCGGCGAGGTCTCGGACTGGCTCAGCAAGAACACGCTCGACGTCGTCACGCTGCTCGTACGCAATCCGGAGAGGATCGACATGGCACGCTGGGACTCGGCCTTCCAGCGAACCGGCGGCAGCGGGCCCGGCAACCTCACGTCGAGGATCTTTGCGCCGAGCAAGGCCTCGCTGGCGCGCTCCGAGTGGCCGACGTACGGCAAGATGATCGCCGACAACCGGCGGCTAGTCGTCTTTGTCGACCAGGGCGCCGACTTTTCGCGCTTCCCGTACCTGATCGACGAGTCGGGCAGCGTCTACGAGAACGCCAGAAACCAGGAGACGCTGCCGTTCAGCTGCGACGTGACGATGGGCGCCCCGGCGGCCAACAAGCTGGGCCTGCTGAACCAGTACAAATTCACCACGCCGGGCGACGGCGGCGCCGCGAGGCGAGACTTGATGGGGCCGCAGCAGGTCAACCCGGCGAGCGGCAGCAACGGCGTCGTCGACACGGCCAACCGCTGCGCATCGGCAAACGGCGGACGGCCTGCGACGTTTGTGCTGGTCGACCGGTACGACAACCCGTCGGAGCGCGGGGCCGTCTATGCCGGCGCTGTCCTCAACAACATCACGGACACCAGCAGCCCGAGCGAGAGCGACTACCTACGGAGCAACCCGTCCAGCGGCGCGACGAGGCCAACGGTGGGCCTGACGCTGGCGGCAGTCACGGCGGCGGTGGTGGCGAGCGGCCTTGCCCTGGTCCTATAGATGCGATCGCGGCCACCTCTGGCTCGCTGTATATGTACTTGATTAACGATACGACCCGATCGACGACGACGACGATGACGACGACGATACCATGGCTGCTTGAATGATATCCTTGTGGAACGCCATCGACGTGGATTGAGTGCTTGACGAGGGGTGATGGAAGGAGGATGGCGGGGGGGCACGCGAGCGGGTCAGGCCCAGAGCAGGCTCGACGGGCGGGCTCAAGGCCCAAAAGGGTTACGTGCACGGGCCCCGCTGACGGTGCCAGAAGGCCGCCGCTGCAGCCGAGTCGCCCGCCTATGGCTTCCGACCGCCTTTTGCTCGCTCGCTCGCCCCTTGGCTCCCTTTCCCTTCCCTCGATCCTACTCCTCCCTCACCACCCCTCCCTTGTCGCTCTCTTCTCTTCACTGCCTCTGCTCGCTGCCGTGCCTCCGCCTTTTGCGCGCCCCTCGTAGCATGGCATGACCCGCCATGGCGACCCGACCAGCATGGACCACGCCTCGCCAACGCCCAACCCCATCGGCGGCGGCAGCTTTGTCGACGCCGCAAAGATCCGCATCCTCCTCACCCCCGTCGGCGACGTGTCCCCCGCAGACTTTGCACGCTGGTCTCAGCACGTACGCAACTTTGACATCGTACGCTTAAAGCACCTCCCCGGCGCCGCAGCCCGCAAGTGGCCCGCCCACGACTCGCCGCTGCGCCAGGTCGGCGAGGTCCACCTCTCGTTCGTCACGTCCACCGACCCCTCGCACTCGTTTCTCGCGCCCTTCAACCTGAACAGACAGGTCCTCGGAGTCCTCGGCCTCAGCACATTCGGGCCCGGCTCCGATACCGATGCCCTCGAACGCACGCCAGGCGCACTCCGCGAGCTGCATCCGGGCGCCATCGTGCACCGCGTCTTCGGCTTCGACAATGGCGCCACTCGCCCGCAGACCATGGACCTCTCCTCGGTCCAGGACGTGACAGCCAAGATAGAAGCTGCCGGTGCCAGCACGCCTGGTGCAGCGGACGACAGCAGACTCCCGCCCCAAGCGGCCGGCGAGGCACGCGGAGGCATGCCACGCTCCGTCTCGGCCAACTCGATCGCCTCCGAGGTATCCAGCGAAGGTGGCTTCTCCGGCCGCAACGCCGGCGGCCTCGTCATCTTTCCCGCCGTGCGCAAGGACGCAAAGGACGTCAACTTCTACCTCCGCACGCTGGTCGCCGAGCTCGTCGCATCGATCCTCGACGGACTAGATGGCATTGTCTCTGCGCTCGAGGGCACCCCGCTCGAGACGCCCCGCGAGACGCTGGACGGTATCGTCTCGCCGACCCGGTCCTCGGCCAGCTCTGCCCTCCAGGCCGTGACGAGCCCGACTGCATCGTCCTTTGGCACCGCAGCCAGCACTGCCGCCAGCCGGGCTTCGGCTCTGTTCAGCTCCTTTGGTGGGGGCGGCAGCGGCAGCGGTAGCCCGACCACCAGCGTTGGCGCCAGCAGCATGGGAACTGGCGGTGGCACCATCACGCCTTCATCCTCTTCGACTGCATCGCGTCCGGTCTCGGCCATCGGCGGCGGCTCACAGCCGGACATGGGCCTTCCCACCACGCCGTCGTCGCTCAACGACGCCAAGAGGCGGACCATCCTCTCGCCCGTTTCCACTGGCAAGAAGGGCAGAAAGACGTCGAGTGCCGGCGGAGTGGGCCCAACCGGGACCGGCCGCTTCGCCAAGGTGCGCGCCGACTTCCACCTCCTGGCCGGCGACCTGTGGACCGCGCTCGAGGGCTACGAGGCCTCGCTCAACTTCCTCGGCAAGGAGCGCGCCCTGGCGGGCGGGCAGGATGCCGTGTGGTACGCCAGCGCGCTCGAGGGCTGGGCAGTGGCCAAGGTGCTCGTTTCGCGCATGGGCGGCGAGGTGCTGGAAAAGGCGCCCGCTTTTGACCTGCCTGCGGGCGTCGCCGCCGCCGCCTCGGCCAACAGCGGCAAGGACAAGGACCGTGACAAGGACAAAGACGCCAGGGACGCTGCTCCCTATGCCAAGCAGGCGTGGGGCGAGATCGCAGAGGCCTACTCGCTGGCGCTGGCCATCTACTCCAAGTGCCTGGCGCCGCCCCACGTGCTGCTGGAGCCGGCGCGGTCGGTGACCAACGAGACGCCGCGCGACTTTACGCATCCGCTCATCCATGCCGGCGCCTGCATCCAGTACTCGCGCTTCCTGCTCGCCGTCTGGGCTTCGGCCGGATGGAACGGCGAGTGCTTCGACCAGCTCCTCTACGGCGGCGTGCCCCCCGCGCTGGCCGAGGAGACGCGGCCCAGCCAGGGCACCTTTACGCGCATGAGCGCTCTCTCTGGCGTGCAGCGGCACGACATCGCCTCGGCCGCGTCGTCGGCCTTGACACAATCGGTCGCGGCGCTCAAGGCGACCGACCAGATCACGGTGCTCTGCACGCTGACGAGCCTGTTTGGCTGCATCGGCTTCTCGCGGCGCGAGGCCTACCTGCTGCGCCAGCTCCAGGCCGTCATCGTGTCGCTGCTGGCCAAGTCGATGTTGCAACGATCGCGGCAGCCGACGACGACCACGTTGCCGTTGCTCTGCGACGCCGCTGACGACGAGCTGCTCGGCACCATCGTTTCGCAGGTCAGCCACGAGACACTGCGATCGGGTCCCGAGGCCATCCTCGTCCTTGCCATGCAGGTCTGCGAAACGCACGGCGTTCACGTCGAAGTCGACCCGTTGAAGAATGTCCCGGCGTACCACATCCTCTCCCGCGCTGGAGAGGGCCTCCGCAGCGCCTACACGTCGCCCAACCCCGGCAGCGCGCGCATGGACGGAGCTAGTTCCGACCTCTGGGGCGCCGCGGCCGCACGAGGTGCAGCCCAGCTCGGCTCCACCAGCGGTACGGACGCCACGCCGAGCCGGCTCGAGCTCGAGAGCGAGGCACGCTTCGGGTGGCCCGAGCAGCAGGTGGCGCTGCTCAAGGACACAATCGCAGTGGCCGAGATGCTAGGCGACAATATCGGCATGGCCTTCTTTGCCGCCATCCTGCTGCGCGACTACCATGCGCTCCTCTCGCCCGACGAGCAGTGGCGCGTGCACGACGGCCTGGTCAGGGTGACTGCCAGTGCGCGATGGCAGGGCGCTCAGGATCTCCAGGTGCGGTACTGGGGCCCCGCGGAGCCGCTGTGCAGCCTCCAGTTTGTGCCGCTTCAGGGGCATCGCTTGCCAACGGAGCGCGCACTCAAGGACCTCGATGCCAGCCCGAGCTCGGCCGATGGAGCTGCCGCCCAGGAGGGTGTCGCTGGGCTCGACAATCCCTTCTTCTGGAACCCAGCGACCGGAGCGTCCCGGACGGGCGGCAAGGACAGCGTGATGGCGGTGGCGGGCGAGCCGCTCGAGGTGATGGCCACGCTGCAGAACCCGTTCGCCTTTGACCTTGAGGTCGAGACGATCCGGTTGGTCACTGAGGGGGTCGGGTTCGAGGCGGCGCCCACTCGCACCGTGATGCCCGCCGGTGCGTTCCACACGATCCGGCTGAGCGGCACCGCGGAGGCGTCGGGCATGCTGAGGATCAAGGGCATCGCTCTTGCCCTGGCCGGATGCAGCGAGGAGACGTTCCTGCTGCCCATCTACGACGAGCAGAGCGAGCGAGAGCGTCAGCAGCGCGCAGCCGAGGCGGTCGACAAGCGGACGCGGATCAAGAATGTCGGGCTCGACGCGCGGCCGGCCGTGGTCAAGCACCGCGAAACGCTGGCCGCCGCCAAAGCCGAGGCCGAGGGAGGTGACAAGGCCAAGCGTCGCACCGCCTCGAACCGGCCTCAGGCCGAGCCCCGCTACCTCGAATGCCGGGTCGCCCCGCCGCAGCCGCTCCTGCGCGTCGAGTGCGCCGCTCTGCGCTACGGCACGCTGCACCTGTTCGAGGGCGAGCGCAAGACGCTCCGCCTGAGGATCACGAACACGTCTTCGGAGGTCGCCGTCGACTATGTCAAGCTCTCGTTCAGCGACAACCTCTCCGAGACGGCCAAGCAGGTGCTGCTCGAAGGCGATCTGCTTCCCTCGGACGCACACGAGCTCGAGTGGGACCTGCTGCATCGACCTGTCTTGCAAGTCCGGTCTAGACCGTCGTCGTCGTCGTCGTCGTCGTCGGTGTCGCGGTCGCCGCCGCCGCAACCAGGCAGCCGTCAGCACCGCCTCCATATCCCGCCAGGCCAGGCTGCGACGCTCGACGTCGACGTCCTCGGCAAGCTCGATTGCTCTGCGGGCCGCATCACTGTCGAGTACGCCAGCCTCGCCGGTCTGGAGATCGGCGCATCGGCCAAGCAGCCTGGGTTGGGCGACAAGTTCTACACGCGCTCCCTCACCTTGCCGCTCAACATCACCGTCCAGCCGCTGCTCGAGTGCGGACCGATCGAGGTGCGGCCGCTGCGGGCATCTGAGGCAGCCAAGTTGACGGCCCAGAGCCTCGCGCTGGCCGAGCCCGGTGCATCGGTACCTGCCGGTAGTGGCAGTGGCAGCGGCCGTAGCCTCGACACTGCAGTGGCTGGGCCGGAAGCGGGTGCCGACCTCGAAAACGCGGTGCGCGAGTCGAAGCAGGTGGATGCGAGCGTCGCTGCCGATCCCGACGGCTTCTGCCTGCTGTCGATGGACGTGCGCAACGTCTTTAGCGAGGCCGTCGCCGTCAAGTTTGCGCTCAACACTGGTGAGTGGCCGTCTGCCGCTGCGATGCGTTGCGTGGCTTGAGCCCCAGATGCCTCGGAGCGGCGACGAGGCTGACCCACGCTCTGCTTATCCCACCCATACCGCTTTCCCTGCATCATTCGCGAACCTATATCCGCGACTGCTGCAGGCGGGCTCAAGAAGCTCGATGTCGAACGCACGCTGGCTCCGCAGACGACGTCGCGGTTCGTGTTCCCCTTCCCGCGCCTCTGGCTGGCGAGCGCGACGACGCGGCAGGCGATCCCGACGCTGAGCCGGCGCCAGTTTATCGTGTCGAAGCTGGTGCTATCGCCGCGCGACGAGAGGCAGGCGCGACGCCGGTTCTGGTACCGCCAGGAGCTGCTGGGCCGCTTCCGCGCAGAGTGGACGGTCCTGCCCCGCGCGTCCGCGTCCTGGGGTGCCGTCGAGGAAGCGGGCAGGAGGGGCAAGAGGGTGGGCGAGATAGGTCTGAGGGATCAGGTGCTGAGCGACGTCGATGTCGCCGCGCTGCAGCGGGAAGGCGTCAAGGTCGAGTGCGCCTTTCTCCCCGCTGCCACGCCCGGGCAACCTGGCTCGCCCAACGGCGACGACGCCGGAAGGCAAGAGGACAAGACGAAGACGAGGACGGGTCGACGACCCGAAGAGGTGATGGTGCAGCGCGAAACGACGGTGACGATCCGGGCGACGGTGCACAACCAGAGCGACCGACCACTCAAGCTCCTCATCCGCTTCGTCGCCGTCCCGTCGTCCTCGTCTTGCTCATTGGAGAGCAAGGTGGAGAGGGAGAGGGAGGACGCCATCCTCTCTTCGTGCATCATCTGGACCAATGGCAACGCCAACCAGAGAATCACGCCCTGGCCCCTCGCTCCCCCTCGCCCTGTCGCTGCCACTGCGACCGCGAGCGCGGAGGAAAGGGCCAAGGAGGACGAGCAAGGGGTGGCGACGGTCGAGAAAGAGGTCATGTTCCTCTCGTCTGGCCTCTTTTCGTTCTTGGTCGGCGTCGAGGAGGTCGTTGATCGTCCCGCCTCCACCGCGGCAGCAGCAGCAGCAGGACGAGGGGGAGGGGAAGAGGAGGGGCAGGAAGAGGAAAAAGTCGTCTACGTCTCTGGCCTTCCCCTCCAGGTCGTCGTCGTCTAGATCAAGGGACTAGACGCACACACTTTCTCGGCGAGTTGAAGGCCAAGGGACGAGGATGGTGATAGAGGTGGTATGTAGATTGCAGGCAAGACGGCGTCGGCGGCAAAGGAGATCCAGCTAGGAAGCGGCGGCGAGATTGACCTTTTCCTCGTTGCCCCTCTGCTCGATGGCCATGGCGGCGGCGGCGGCGTCTGCGTCGCTCCAACCCAGCAGCTCCTCGACGCCCCTCCAGGCATCCACGACCCACTCTGGGATCCAGCCGTGGCTGAGTAGCGCGATGCCGGCCTCGAAGGCGATGAGGGCAATGATGATGACCTCCATGCGGTGCGTGGTGCTCTCGGTGAGGAGGGCGCGCACGACGCCGAGCAGGTTCTCGCAGTGGTCGAGCTTGTCGTTGAAGGTCTCGAAGCGCGACGAGATGTCGAGCTCGGCGCAGATGCCGCGGAAGTGGTCCTCCATGGGCGCATTGTCCCAGTAGAGCTCGGGCTCGTCGTAGAAGTTGTCGCGGTCCAGGTTGGCCTTTTGGCGCAGGCGCAGCAGCGTGCCCATCTGCCGGATCACCTGGGCCCGCGTCAGCGGTACGCGGCCCGTCGTCTCGAGCTGGTGCGGGATGGCCGAGACCGAGGCGAGAAAGTGCGACAGCGTCTGCTCCTGCACCGACAGCCGCGCCGACGTCGCCAGGCCCTGGGAAAAGGCGAGCTTGGCCCGCAGCGGCGTCCACTCTTCGTCAATCGAGGTCGTTGGTGGCGGTGCGGTCGACGAAGGCGACGACGACGACGACGACGACGACGACGGCTCGGCATCCGACACCGACGACTGCGCATCCTGGTCGGCTTCTACGGGCGATTTGCCGAGGACGATCAGGCCGTCGCGGATGCGCGTCGTCTCGGAGGGGTCGACGAGGCACTCCATGGTCTCGTCTCCCATCTCCGTATACCGGCCGAGCTCGACGACGTGCTGGAGGTCGCGGCCCTGGATGACCTGGCGCAGGAAGCGCTGGGATTGCGAGAGCGAGAGGTTCCAGGTGATGTAGGAGCCGGAGCGGAAGATAAAGACCTCGCCCGTGGGTGCGGATGAGGTCGACGCCGACGGTTGAGCGGTCTGGGGTGCCGAGGAGCTGTCTGGCTGCTGGTGGTGGGGCCAGGAAGGCACGTAGATGACTTCGTCGCGCTCTACCCACTTCCAGCCTGGAGGGAGGCGACCGGAGCGGATGAGGGCGTTGAAGTCGTACTGGTAGGCGGTGGCCCAGGCAAAGACCTCGGAGACGTGCTTGCGGTTGGCGGCGGCAGGTTGGCGTCGGGGAAGGACGACGTCGTCATTGGCGATGGTATCGTCGAGGGATGTATCCTCGCGGGCTGCCCTTGCGGCTTTTGCGGCAGCGGATGCGGAGGCGGCCTTTGACTTTGCCGATTTTGTCGAAGGGGGAGCCTGCTGCTTGAGGGCGGTGATGAGGTGTGGGGGCAGGTTAAAGGTGAGAGAGCCGCCGCCCGAGCCGGACTTGCTGGGAGCGTAGGATATTTGGACGGGTTTCGTGAGCGGTTTTGATGGGGTGCCTGGCGAGGGTGGTGAGGGTGAGGGAGAGGGGGAGGGTGGCTTGTCGTTGGACGACGAGGAGGAGGATGACGAGTTGAAGCGGGCCGGGCGGATGAGGCGAGGGAGCGCCGGTGGACGTGGGTCGAAGCGTGGTGGTGGGCGTGCGAGCAGGCGTCGAGCCGTACGTGCGCCTAGCGATGGCAGCATGGCGGGCGAAGAGGCGGTGGTGCGGTGGTGCGGTGGTGTGTGGTGCAGGTCGATGGAGCGGGCGGGCGCGGGTGGTGGCGACAAGGAAGGCGTCGGAAGAAAGAGGGGCGCGGGGCCAGGGCCGGGCCCCGGGGTGGAGGCAAAAAGGCCAGGCTCGGAATCGGCACTCCAAGCGGACCGAAGGCGGGCGGGGCGGCCACCCGCAGGCTAGGTTACCAAGACCCAACCCGACTTCCGAACCAAGGTGCCAACTTGATTATTGCCAAGCCAGCAGCAGCCAGCGCGGGCCAAAGCGTCGGCCTCGAAAGTGGGGTCCAGCCGCCTCGCCTGCCGAGTGCCGCGCTTCGGCACAGCCCCGTGGCTGGCTGGCCTGGCTGGCTCGAGCTTGGCTTGGCTGGCCTGGCCTGACCCCATCCCTCCTCACCCAGCTCCTCTCGACCCTCGCCCTACACCACCACCTACCTACATCGCCACATCTATCGCGTGCTTCAGCCATCTTTTAGCCAGCAAGTCGACCCTACATATACCACCGCCAACCTCACGGAGCATGCCGCCCGCAGCAGCACCCGGCACCCCTCTCTCGCAAGCCCCACCTCCGCCTCCACTCGTATCCCTCAAGTCGGCCGCCAGCGCAACGACCACGCATCCAACCTCACCGCCGCCATCCTCGCCACCACCGCCTGGACACAACCGCAATGACCCGTCATCACAGCCAGCCGCCACCGATGACGCCGTCGCCATCCCCGTCACCATCCACTCGGCGGCACAGCGCGGCGACCTCGCCACCATCGTCGACCTCGTCCAGTCCGGCACCGCCACCGTAGACCAACGCGACAAGGACGGCATCACCCCGCTCCACTGGGCGTCCATCAACGCACAGCTCCACGTCTGCAGGTACCTCATCGACAACGGCGCACACGTGGACCCGCTCGGAGGCGACCTCGTCGCAAGCCCCCTCCAGTGGGCCGCCAGAAACGGTCACACCTACGTCCTCGAACTCCTCACCAACCACGGCGCAGACCCCACCATCACAGACTCGCAGGGCTTCAACGCCCTCCACCTCGTCGTACACTCGAGCGCAGTCATGCCCCTCGTCTACATCCTCCAGCACCCCGCACTCGCCCAGCCAGAGGGCTTCGACTCGACCGACTCCCAGGGCCACACCGCCCTCATGTGGGCCGCCTACCAGGGCGACGCCATCTCCGTCGACATCCTCCTCAAGCACGGATCCGACGTACACAAGCGCGACGCATCCGGCCTCACCGCTATGCACTGGGCCGTCGTAAAGGGAAACCGCCTCTGCATCCGCCTCCTCGCACAGGCCAAATCCGACCTCTGGGCAAAGGAGGCCTCGGGAAAGACGCCCCGCGACATGGCCATCGAGCTCAAGTCGATCGGCGCCTACCGCAAGGCCCTCGCAGACGTCGGCCTCGACGACGACGGTCGCAAAAAGTCGCGCACCTTTGGCGCATCCACCGACCGCACCGCAAAGCTCGCCGTCATGGCCGTCCCCTTCACCGCCCTCGGCCTCATCTTTGCCACCCTCTCCACCCTGCCCTGGTACACAGGCATACCCCTCGCCATGGCCGAGTTCTTTGGCATGCACCACGTCGTCACCCGCGTCATCCTCGACCCCATGGAGCACGACTTCCTCCAGCGCTCAAACTACTTTCTGGCCATCGTCTCGGGCTCGATTGAGTGGGTGGCGTGGGAGTGGGCCACCAAGCTCGCCTCCAACGTGCCCGGCCACGCCACCGCCAACCTCTTTTTCGCCCTCGCCCTGCTCCTCTGCGCCTGGAACCTCTTTCGCGCCTCGACGCTCGAGCCCGGCTACGCGCCCACGCCCCAGAACCCAGAGGAGCGCAGGGCCGCCGTCTACGCGCTCGCCGCCGAGGGCAGGCTCAACGGCCAGACTTTCTGCGTGTCGTGCATGGCGCGCAAGCCGCTCCGCAGCAAGCATTGCAAGCTCTGCCGCCGCTGCGTCGGCCGCCACGACCACCACTGCCCGTGGGTGGCCAACTGCGTCGGCGTCGAAAACCACCGCCAGTTTATCGTCTTTGTTGCCGCGCTCGTCGTCGGCATCGTCCTATTTGGCTATCTCAGCGCTTCCTGTGAGTCCATCATCCGTGCGGCCGCAGTATCGATCCGCGTGTGGCGCAGGGCATGCAGGGCCCGTGACTGATCTGACCCTCTCCTCCGACCTCTCACCCCGCTCGCCACCGCTGCAGACTACTCGATTCACGCGCCGCCATATGATCCGTTGCCCGACCCGACGTCGGACGCGGCCATTTGCCACCTGCCCTCGACGCTGCTCTGCTCGGCCGTGGCCTTGGACCCCTTTTTGCTGTCGGTGACGTGCTGGGCGCTCCTGCAGCTGTCGTGGACCGTGGTGCTGCTGTCGGCCCAGGTGTGGCAGATCTGTCGCCAAATGACGACGCTCGAGGTGTCCAACCTGGGCCGGTACGGCTACATGGGCGGCAAGGGCGGCCAGAGCTACTCGGGCCAGCAGGGCATGATCGCCCTCCACCTCTCTCGCCAGGGGGCGCCGGCGGGTCAGACGGCCGAAGGTGCGCTAGGCGCACTTCAGGAGTCTGCCGGAGTGGCGGGGCCAGCGGGGGCGATCAGGAAGCAGGGCGGACTCAAGGGCGGCTGCAAGCGCGGAGGCGACCTGCTGCTCTCGATTGTCGGTCTCGATCTCTACACGCGCGGCAAGGCGGGCGAAGGGCTCAAAAAGGCCAATCGCGCCAGCAACCCCTTCGACGTCGGCGTCGTCGGCAACTGTCTCGACTTTTGGAAGAAGGGCGACGAGCTGGGCATCCGCTACGAGCGCATCTACGACGTGCCGCCTGGCGGGTTCACGAGAGGCGGTGGCCGCGCTGCGGGGGCGTTGGGCGGAGACCTCGAGGCCGGCATGGGTGGGCTAGGAGGGTGGGACGACGGCGCTGGGCAGCCCAAGGAGCGGAAACGGTGGAGCATGTGGCAGAACCTGCGCGGCAAGCGGGACGGGTACGCCCTGCTTCCGTCTGGCGGTGGAGCCTAGCTCCTGTCGCGGCACGGTGGACGATCTCACGGACGGTTGGACGACCTGACGACCTCGACGACGAGTAACGAATCCTCCTCTTCTAGATGGCTTTCAACGACGTTATCCTGCAGAGCACAGCCAGACGTCGACACGACGCGATGCAAGTGCAGGCGCGAGAACGGCGCCGAGCGGGAACCGCAGCCTGATGGTACTTCTGACCGTGGGGCATTGATGGTCGAGCCTGGACGAGCTCGAGGAGGCGCATGGCCGGCTTCGAGTCGTCTCGGATCCTATGGTCCTTGGTGCTCGGTGCTCCCTAGAGAAGTCGGCTCGATTCCAAGCCGACGTCCAAGGAAAAGAGGGACCGGATGGCAGGGCCCCAAGCCAATGGAGATCGTCGGTCGAGGCAGCATTCAGACTCGACGCATGGCCTGGCCAGCTGGTGGGCTCGCTGGCTCGAGCGCAGAACGCGACGCACGGGTCGCCTCTGGCCTGGTCGAGCCTGCACCGCCCGCGCTCGCCTCGCCTTTCCTGCCCTGCTCGTGCAAGTCTGCTCCCTTCCTCTTCTCGTCCTCCATCTCCGCAGCTTTGTCCTTCTCCAGAGCCATCCCGCTCTCCCGACCCCTTCAAAAGCCCTGTCCTTCAACAAGCCCAAGCCCGCCCGAAGCAAACTCCCTCCTCCTTACTCCTACTCGACCGCATTCACGCAAGGCAGCACCTCGTAAGTGACCGGACCAGGCGGTAGTAGTCGAGACGGTATGGCCAGCGACGTAGATTCCCCATCCGGTCACCCCGTCCGAGGTCCCTCATCTCCGCCATGTCCTGCCTCATTGTCGCCATTTGCGAGCGCCGCCCGACTCACTCCGCCGCCGGCATGCATGCGTCTTCCTCCTCTCGTTGTCTCCATCGCTTTCCCTTACCAGACCATGTTCGCCCGAGGCTATGAAGCGGACGACAAGGCGGTGGTCTACGCTCGCAGCTACATCATGGATCCCAACACGGCCGATGCCGTGGGCGACGGATTCGTGTGGTCCCCCACTACAACACGCCACATTTGCAAGGACATCACCATCATGTCTGACTTTCGCACCGAAAAGGGCGTCATCCGCCACAACACCGACCTTTCGGGGCACCACGACCGCGAGATGGCCTTCGAACTAGTCGGCAAGATGAGCATCATCGTCACCCAGCCCGACGGACGCGTCAAGAGGGTCTCGCTCGAGGATGTTATCTACTGCCCGGAAGTGCCGTACAACTACTTCTCGGCCAATGCCATCGAGAGCGCTCCCTCCTTGCGATTCTTGGACAGCCTCGGACCGGTCCTCGGCCGCCACCTTGTGCTCGCGGACGGAACGATTTTGAGGGGCGTCTAGCGCGGCTACGTCCACTGCCTCGACTTCACTCCGGCCCCCAAGCGCAAGTCGAGCGACGGCTGCACGCACCAGTAGGCGCAAGGACAGCAGGCCACCTGCATGGCCATCGTCCGCATCGTTTGGCCCTCTCGTCGCCCCCTCTGCGTCCTTCTCCTCTCTCACGTCCTCGCCGTCCCTCTTCTTTTCGCTCGCGCCGCTCGCCCCGCTCCCGGTCTGGCAGGCTGGCCTGCCTCGCACCGCGTTCCTGGTCTTGGATCTTGAGCACCTCGTCTAGTCCCTCACCCACAAATGTACCCCTCCTTCCTGATGTCAGCGCCTCGAGGATAACCAATCTAGAAAGAGCCGCGGCGTCTCGTTCCACGGACGGACGGCTTCCGTCCTGCTCGAGCCGGGAGCGACTTGATCCCGCTCCGCCCGTTTTCCTCCTCGCGTCCAAACGATCCTCGCCGCTTTTGCGCCTTTTCTCTGGATCCTCAAACCCGCATCAGGGTCCTGCGCAACTCGAAGAGGATCGAAACTCGCCTTTGATGGTCCAGCATCGACGACGAGCAAGGAAGCCTGGCCGAGCAGTGGGCGGGCAGCGAGCGAAGAGCGGCTGGCCCGGCCTGGCCTGGCCTGGCTCGAGCGCCGAAAATTTCCGGGCGAAGCCAGGCCAGGGCGCACACGCGTGCCGTCCTGGCTCGTGCCTGGTCCAGAAGACGGGTTCCCTGTCCTCCCTTCGCTTTCCTCCCTCCTCCCTCCTCTCTCCTCCCCGTTCACTCCTCCCTGCCTTTATCCTCTGCCCCGCCTTGCTCTCTTCCTCCCCTCTTGCGCTACTTACGCCGCTCCTCGTCACTGTCGCCACCGAGCCCCGCAGACCCTTCTTCCAGGTCGCTTCCCACAGCTCCACCACTGCCGAGCATCATCCGTGACTCCAGGCTCCGGGTCGCTGCGAATACCATCAGACGCTCGCACCATCTCCTTACGGATCCCGCTTTGGCTTCTATCTACCCGTGAGTCGAGGTCGAAGTCAGGATATGCACGCCGAGCCATTGAGAGCTCGCTCGTCGCTGTGCGTGCGTCACCTAGAGACACCGTGCTGACCGCATACAAGCGCTTCCCCGGGCCCTCGCTCTCTCCAACCGGCAGACCATGCCGGACTCTTCCCTCGTCGTCCACCCCAAGGAAGACGTTCGCGTCCACTACACGGGCTGCATCATCGACGAAGAGCACTGGGACGTGGTGGCCGACGGCTTCCTGTGGCTGCCGGACAGCACGATCCACATCTGCAACAACCTCGACATGCTCTCGGACGTCGAGCCCAAGCGCGGCATCATCCGCTGCAACTACGGCACGAGCGACGACATCGAGTTCCAGCTGGTCGGCAAGATGAACGTGCTCGTCACCCAGCCCGACCGCAGCATCCGCAAGGTCACGATCCAGCCCGTCGTCTACTGGCCCGACGCCGCCTTCAACGTCTTTGCCCCCACCGCCTTCGACGACGGCCCTGGTCCCCGCACCGTCTACCACATCGGCTACCCCGAGGGCCACGTTCTCAAGCTGTCGGACGGTACTGTGCTCAAGAGCGTCGCTAGGGGCTACGCCGACTGCCTCGACTTTGTCCTGGCGCCCAGGGAGGACCGTCTGGCCGCTTGAGCGATGGACGACCCAACGTCGAGGCCGCGGCTGGACCTCGATCTAGCCGCGCTCACGGTCGACAAGGCCGGACGGCATCAAGGCCCCCTGTGACACCCGTTCAACCCGCTTCTACCCTCCGGAAAGCCTCGGACAGCCCCTTTTTCGCCTCCTCTTTCGCCGCTGCTCGGCAGGTCAACCGCTCTCCTCTCTCTGTGCACGCCACTTTGGCTCAGCAACCATCAGCGGAACCACGAAGCCTTGTTTGACCCTTTCATCGACCGACGACTGTGCGCTACGAGGGAGGATCAGGGGGCAGCATGCTCGTCTCCGCGATGCCAAGGTATCCGACGGCCCCAGCCTGTGTGGACGCGTCGTGTCGACCTTGGCGGCGCTGACGGGCATCACCGGCTCTGCATTGCTGCCGGCTGCCGGCTGCCTGCTGCCTTCGGCGTCTTGACGAAAGAGGGACATGTCATCGGACGAGGATCTCGCTGAGCGTCTCTCCGTCGAGGCTGGCCGAAGGCACGGACCGGGAAGCGGGGCAGGAAAAGGTGGGGGAAATGTCGTGCTCGGCCTCGCCAGGTACGCCATGCGGTGAGTGTGGAACGCGCAAGTGGACAGACGAGAGCGGACCCTCGAGGCCTGGCAGAAGCGGGGAAAGCGGGGAGCGCAAGCAAGGGTCCACCCACGCCTGCTTCTGACGTGATTCGATGGGCGCCCGCCCAGCAGGCGGCAGGTCGATTGCGGGGATGGTATGTATCGGCTCGGCAACGCCTGCTAGCCGGACACAGACCGACCTCGCCTGCCTGCCTCTACAAAAGCTCCTGCTCTCTCTCCGTCGTCGCTCTCGCTGTTTTGCCTTCGTTCGACCACCATCCCGACATCGCACACCGACGACCGAGACCCGCGATGCTCTCTGCTCTACCCCCTTCGCATCCTGCCCGGACAGACCTTGTCGGTGCAGACGAGGCTGGCGGCGTCACCTTTCAGCATGCCACCGCCGACTTCCAGCGGCGGCTGCAGGTCCCGCTCGGTGATGGACGGGCCATTGACGCCGCCTTCCCAGGCATCCTGGTACCAGACCCTTCTCGCACTCCGACATCGAAGCTGCCCTCGAACGACGTAGAGGCCTACCTCGATGGCATCTCGGCACTCGCAAGGACTTCAGCGACGACCGCCGGAGCGCGAACTACTTCGTCCTCGGCCCTGGGCGAGCTGCTCGCGTCGCACGGCGGCGCCCTGCACTTCCGCTCGACACCGCTGCGCACCGCGGCCGACTTCTCGCGCTTCCTGTACACGATTGCCGGACAGCAGGGCTGGCGGCCGCACGTCGACAAGGGCCTGATGGTGCTTCGGAAGCCGCACGCCGACAACGTCGCGACGGCCAACGAGGGCCCTCCGTACCAGCCCATTGGGAGCCACAACGAGTACGGCCTGTCGACGCACTTCCCTCGCTACATTGCCTTTTTCTGCCTCTCGCCGCCGCAGCAGGGCGGGCAGACGCCCATCGCGTCGAGCCTCAAGCTCTACCACGACCTCGAGCGCGAGGTGCCCGAGTACATTGCTGCGCTGCGCGACGAGGGCGTGGCATTTACCATCCACCACCCGCGGGACACGATCGAAGGGTGCATCCAGGGCAACGCGCTCTTCTCTTCGTCGGCGTTTGGACCGAGTGAGGGCGTCGAGGGCGTCGTGGGCCTCGACGAGGACGCCAAGCGCAAGGTGGTCGAGTCCAACGTCGATGCCCTGGCTGCCGAGGGCGGATGGACGCCGACGCTGCACCGCGACGAGCCCACTGCGCCGCACTGGAAGAAGCGGGGCTTTTCGGCGACGTGGAACGAGGACGGATCGGTGCTCGTCACGCAGCGGGTGCCCGGGGTGCGCGACCATCCGAGCCTGGGTGCCAAAACCTACTTCAACAACATCCACAACCGCTTCGCCTACAGCCGGGCCGCCGGTGCGCTCCAGCCGCCGCACATTGCCAAGAACCAGACGACGGCGGCGGGCAGGCCCTTTTACCAGTTCCCGCCGCACATTGTCGGCGAGCGCGAGGACCGACCGGTCGAGGAGCGGTGGACGCGCGTGGCCGACGAGGTGACGGCGCGCAACCAGGTGGATGTCGAGTGGAGCGTGGGCGACGTGCTGCTCCTCGACAACCTGGCGGTGCAGCATGCGAGGAGGACGTGGAAGGGCGATAGGAGACTGCTCGCCAGCCTGTGGGACGGGGCCGACGAGTAGCCCGTCGATTGACGTTCAAACCAACATGGCTGCCTGCACAGCCACACACACACTCTCTCTCTTTGCTCGCTGTGAGCGAGATTCATCTCCTCTTCGTGCAGGACGCCTCTTCGTGCAGGACGCCTCTTCGTGCAGGACGCCTCTTCGTGCAGTACGCCTGCCTGCTTCTGACAGCTGCCTCGGCATGCTCAATCGCACGCACCCTCGGTGGCTGCGAGACAGGCTGCCTTCCGCCCTCAGGACATGGTTCGGACATCGGTCCGACCCGTTCCGCTCCCGAGTCTACCTTCAGTGCAGCAGCACCGGCCACCTTCCGAGTGGGACATGTACCGTTCTTTTTCGCGGCGAGGCTGTGCAGATCATGCCTTCGTCGTTGATGTCCGAGCGCCAGGGAAGATTGCACGAGCAAGCAAGGCGATGCTGCAAGGTGGCGAAAGCGACCGAACCCGCAGATGTCATGCATGCACACCGACGATCCTGTTTCCGAACCTTCTTTGCAGACCCAGAGCACCGCCCACGCTCGCTCCGCCCGTGTTCCGCCTCCTTCTGGTCTTGGCGTTCACTCTTTGCTGTGTTGTGTTCGGGAGTCGCCAAACCGCCCATTAGAGTACCTTCGGATGGCCCGACGGCGACGGCAGCAAACGAGTCGGAGCGAAGAAGAAGCAAAGGTATAAAGCGGTTGACTCGGCTTCGCCCCGCAGCACCTCGGCTCTCATCTTACGCCCAAAGACCCACCGTCCGCAACGCACCATGTCCTTGCAAGAGACGCTTCGGGCCGCCTCGGCGCGCAACACTGCCCTCCTAGCAACGCTGGCAGCCACCGACCACGCCGAGCCCGCCCTGGTCGAGCTCGAGCGGCACATCGAGGACCTGACCGACTCGCTCGCGTGCCAGACCAAGCTGCTGGGCGACCTCGAGGCCAAGCGCAAGGCCGAGCACCGCGAGCACGTCGAGTACCGCGACAGCATCGTGCGGCGCTTTGCGTACAAGGTGGCCAGGAAGCAGGAGCGCTTCGAGGAAAAGGCGTCCAAGGAGGAGCAGGACTACCTCCACGCCATCCAGGCCGAGCGGAGCGCCACCGAGGAAAAAGAGGCGCTGCAGCGCCTGCTCGACGAGGCCAGGCAGAGGAGGGAGCACCTCCACAGCGAGACGCGCCAGCACGACGACGCACAGAGGGAGCTCGATGCGCTGTACCACGGCATCTTTCGCGGCGCCACGCCCGGGTTCCCGGACGAGGATGTGCAGGAGCGCAAGACCGACACCGCGCTCGCAGCGTACCAGGAGACGCGGCGGCGGTACGAGCTCGACAACCAGGTGCACGGCCTGCTGCTCGGAGCGCTCCAGCGGATGCAGGAGTCGGGCAAGTACATGGCGGATGCGCGGCAGAGCTCGCGGATGGACATGTTTGGCGGCGGGAGCATGGCCGACATGCTCGAGCGCTCGTCGCTCCACTCTGCGGAAAAGGCCAGCATCGAGGCGCAGCTGCTCCTCGTCCAGGCGCGCATGCTCGACCCGGCCCACGTCCCCGAGGTGCCGCGCCCGCAGATCGCCCAGGGCAGCGTGATGAGCGACGTCCTGTTTGACAACATCTTTACCGACATGGACTTCCACGACAAGATCAAGCGCAGCCAGACCGAGGTCGAGACGTGCGCCGCCGCCATCAAGGCGCTGATGGAGGATGCCACGCAGCGGCGCTTCTTTGCTCAGACCGAGGCGCAGCAGGCCGAGGCGACGTTGCAGTCGGCCAGGAGCGAGCTGCAGAAGGTCAGACAGGACATCTTTGCTCGCGCCGCGTCCGCGACGTCGTAGGTCGAGGCGAGGTCGGGACGGATCAGGTTTGGCTCGCTGTCAGATTGACAGCGAAACCCACCAGTCCTCGGGGCGCAAGGTTGATGCTATCGAGACGCCGGGCAAGACGCGCACGCACCACAAGAATTGCTCGTTCATCGAATCGGTCGCGCATCGGGGCCCTTTGACAAGGTGCTGGGATTCAACGAGAAGCTAAAAGTACAGGAAGGACGAGGCGTCGTACGTGCGTCGGTAGCGAACCATGACATGCGGGGGAGGGGAGAGCGGGAGATCGTGGTATCATCGTGATGGGGAGAAGGGGGCCGGGCGTCTAGTCTATGAGGTCTGGACGCTCGGGAGGGCATTACCAGTGCGTAGAAGTGACGGAAGCAAATGCCGGAGGGGGTAATGGAGGTCGGGGTGGGCGAATAAGAGGCCAGGGACGAGGAGGAGGAGGAGAAGGAGCGACGAAGCGCCCTTCGCTCTTCCACCGTCTCCTGGCAGCGAGGCCGAGTGTTAATGCGGCGGCCTCCACCGAACAAAGCCGTCTACTCTGCGAAGATGCTGAGGATGGGAGGGTAGATGTGACGAGAGGTAGATAGCTCCGGGACCGGTGTTAATGCGGGATCCCACGCCGCAAACGTACGAAGTTCCCTCCTGGACCGTGGATAACAGTGGTGGCGCGCAGTCACGCGGCGCCGTGTCAACGCCTACGAGTCGCGGGCGCCCAGGCTGGCGCCCCTGCGAGGCCGATCAGAGGACAAAGAAGCGCTTGATCTTGTTGTGCACGCCCGACTTGTCCTTGGCGGCGTCCTCCTCGTCCCACATCCTGGCGTCGGCCTCGATCTCCTTGAGACCGGAGACAAAGTCCATCTCGTGGACGGGGATGATGCGCGTCTTCCAGAGGTACTTGAAGCCAAAGTAGAGGGCGGGGAACCAGGCGAGCGGCAGGTAGTTGCTGAAGAAGCTCGCCGTGTCCCAGTGTCCCGGTCGGAAGACTTCCCAGCCGGAAAAGACGAGCACGATGCCGACGATGAGCAGCGTCCAGTACGCGCCGACCAGGGTGAAGCGCGACTTCCACGGCAGCATCGAGCGCGGCAGGTTCTGCGCCTTCATGCCGGCGCGGAAGCGGATATAGGTGATGGCAATCGAGAACCAGGTCAGGATGCCCGAGAGCGCCGTGAGGTTGACGAGGAAGCTGAAGACATCGGCCGAGGTGCTCGAGCTGCCGAGGTAGGCGAGGGCGCCTACGAGCCAGCAGACGGCAACGGCGTAGTGTGGAATGCCGTTCTTGAGCGTGCGAGAGAAGATCTTGGGCGCCTGTCCCTTCTGCGCGAGCGAATAGAGCGAGCGCGAGGTCGTGTACAGGTCCGAGCAGCCGGCGCTGAGGGCGCTGGTAATGATGGCAGCGTTGACAATCGAAGGAAGCACTTTGATCCCTGCCGCTTGGATGGCAATAACGTAGGGGGAAGCCGCAGCAGTGCCCGAGGAGCCAAGGAGCGGGTTGTTGTGTGCAACTACCAAGCCGCAGCAAAACACGCTCACGACGTAGAAGCCCACTATACGGACCCAGACAGTGCGCATGCAAATGGGGAGGATCTTGCGAGGGTGCCTGCACTCGGCAGCAGCAAGGGCGAGCATCTCTGCGCCGATCATGCTGAACGAGGCCTGTGCAAGCACGTTGAAGAAGCCGAGGAAGCGGCCTGTGGCGCCAGGGATACCCTTGTATTGGACCAGCGCGCCGGGGTCGCGCCAGTACCGGAAGCCGATCGATTCGCCTTGAGGGCCGCCGCCAGCGGTGATGACGAGCGAGATGATGATAAGGGCCGTGAGAGTGATGACCTTAATGGAAGCGAAGATGAACTCCATCTCGCCAAAGATGCCCGTGCCAAACGCGTTGACTGCGAGGACGACGAGGGACCCGACCGCGATCCACACCGCCTGATTGACCTGGCTTGCAGGGAGCCAGTACGAGATGAGCACAGCGGCTGCGCTCAGCTCCGCAGCGAGGATCAATGTCCAGCAAATCAAGTACGACCAACCCATAGCTGCGCTGAGAGCGGGATCGACGAAGCGACCAGCGAGGCGGATATGGCCGCCCGAAACGGGTAGAAAGGTGACCAGTTCCGAGACCATGAACATAACGCAGACGACGACGGACGCGATGAGGCTGAATCCGAGGAATAGGCCGAGGGGTCCACCGTTCTGCAGGCTGCTGCCGACGCCGAGGAAGATGCCGGTTCCGATGCAGGCGCCAATCGAAATGAAGATGAGGTGTCGGGGCTTGAGCTCGCGGCGCAGGCCAGTGCCGTGATAGTCGTGGCGGAAGTCAAACATGTCGTGGACGACCGGTGCGACCTCATGGTCCGTGACGCTGCTTTCCTGGATGTAGCCATCATCCTTCCCCGAGGGGGAAGCGACCTTCTCAATGTCCATGGTGAATGGCGGCTAGACGGGCAGGTAGGCGATGGGCAGCGGTGGGGTTTATTGCAGCAGGCCTTCAGTCGCAGTGAGATCGTGTTTCGGGGCACGGAAAACGCCAAGTGGTGGGGTCGAGTCGCTAATGAGATGAAGGGGGGCGGACTGCTGGGTTGGAGCAGGAGGAGAGGAGAGGGAGTGAGGGTGGGGGGTGCGGGGGGGCAGGATGAAGGTGCGGGGAGGAAGACGCGCTTTATCTACGGGCGGCAAAGAGCGTGCGGGGCGTCCGTTCCCACGAAGCGATACCTACCGAGCCGCCTCGCGTGCGCTGCAGGCCGTTCGTTGGCCCGTCTTGACCGTATCTCGCAGCGCACACAGGGCGACTTCGTTACGCCGGCCGTGAGCCACGACTGGGCGAGTGGCCGTGAGGCCTTGGGGGCGGTCGAAGGGGGTTGGCCCGAAGACGGACCGCCGCCTGCAGCTTTGGCCATTGTCGGGCGTAGACGAGGGAGCGGGGAAGCAGGCTTCGTGGGGTGGGCCAATCAGAACGCCGCCCGCTTTCGCCCTCGACGATATCGCACATACGTACAGGCGCAGGGGGCGTGGGGCCACCGTCGTTACGTTGTGCTTGTGGCCCGGCATGGCAGCCCTGCCGCAATGTCTGGCCACACACTCTTACTGCCTGCACGCATGGCAGCCTTGTGGGGGACGAGGCCTGGCCCGGCTGATGGCTCGCGAGAAGAAGGCCGTTGCAGCCAGCGGCTGGCTCGCGTGGCACCGGGATTATCGTTGGGGCACCACATGAAGCACGCAGCCCGTCTGAGGCTGGGTCAGAGGGTGCACCCGAGGCTGAGGCGGGCGTCGCGGCTGGTGACTTGGCCACGCCCCGTTGCCCCAGCCCGACTCTGTACTCTCGACGAGGTGCCCTATCGGATACAAAAGGACGAGCCTCGGTCCAATCACCGTTCACTACTCGAGCTTCGCATGGCTGGTTTATCCTGCCTGGTCAGCCGGCAAAGCAGGCCGCCCCTTGCCGTGTGCTGCCGCTCACCGCCCGAACCTCGAACGAGACAGGGCCGCCAACTGTGTCGAAGGCGCCCTGCCTGCCTGCCTCGCCCCAGCGTGCCGCGTCCCCAGACCGTAGCATACGATATCTCCCGGGCTAGGCACGAGACAGTACCTGACGACTCGCATGTGGTAGATGCCGGCATCGCTACGCACGTGGAGCGAGAGGCCTCGTCGTCGTCCCGAAGCGATCTCGTGACCACGCGATGCGGGCCGGGCAGCGAGGGTAGCAGTAGTGTACCATCATACGACGTCCCATGTCGAGACTGCTCTCCGATGGTGGTGCTGCGATTCTGTCTCCAAACCGGAGCGGCAAGACTGAGCGGGCGGCGGAGTTGGATACATACCTTGACCGGCCGAGCGGCGGAAGCGCTAGGGGAAGCGGCGGCTAGCCTCTGGCAAAAACGCCGAATTGGGCCGCCACAGGCAGGGAGCGCAAGCTTGCGCCGCCAAGCCCAGCCTTGCGCCTTTAGCGCCCGACGCGGAGCGAGGACCGGCCTCGGCCCGACTGTGCATGATTCCTCCTTCTTCCCGCACGGTAAAGATCCGCTGCCCCCTTCGCGTCGGCTCCGAATTTGCCAATCATCTCGTGCGGCTCAGAGAGCGATACTGGCCCATCAAAGCTTGGGTAAGCGAGGGCGCCCCTTGCGCCACCTGCCCGCTGCGCCGCTTCTACGGTAACGGCGCACCGGAAGATTTCAGCTGCCCGGCCTGGGGCAACTGTTTCAATTTCGCAATACAAATTTACGGTTTCTGACACAGAATGCCGAAGCCAAGATAAGTAGGCCCTTCTTGACTCTTCAAGTCAAAAGGTTAAGCTCGCGTGGGGGGGGCCTTCAGGGCTTCTTCTGACTCGAGCGGCGCCGTTTGCTTTCTTCGCACGCGCGCGCTGGCCTCTGGCCGCCACCCTGTGGCCCTCGTACAACGAGCAACCAGCCTGCTGGCCGGCACACGGGTGCGCTGGCAGAGCTGGCCTTGCCTGGCCTTTGTACGCTTGCCGCTCTTTTGTGTGGGCTCACGTCGTGCGGCTGCCCTCCACCGGCCATCCAAAGCAGGCGGCCTCTATGCAAGCTATCGTAACCTGGCGCTGCGTAGAGGTGACGGTAGGTAAGTAACGCCAGCTTGTCGGCGAGCTCCTCCTCTGGTCCAAGCCGGGTCGCTCAGGCAGGCTTTGCGATACAGCGAGCGAGTCACGACTCGACGCCGTGTGCGTGTGTGTGTGTGTGCCTGTGTGTGGTTGAGGTTCGGCTGTGGGAAGGAAGGGAGGGACGTCTTCTTCCTGCTGGGAGCCGTCGGGTCGGCGAGCCAACCTCCGCCGCACCGCAGGCCGCTCGCATCGAACAGAGGTCCACCGACCATTAGGCTTCACTTTCCTGCTTCCTCACACCACCACCGTCACACCAACCTTCCTTCCTCTTCACCCACCGTCTTCCCCCCACCCTCCTGTCGTCTACTCGCTCCGAGTCACCGACATCAACCAACATCTCAGCCGTCGGCACATCAGCTTCCGCTGTCGATTGCCAGCGCAGCAACCTGCATCGACCACCTCTCGCGGCCGTCTCTCTTCCCGCGATATTAAATAGCAGTCGACGTCGGACTACTCGCCCATCGATTGCTTCCCATACGGCCCCTTTCACCTCTCGCATCTACCTACGCCGCCCACCACTTGACGGCTGTTCGACACCATGACCGACGCCATCAAGGCTACCTTTGCCGCAAAGGCGCTCAAGGACGAGGCCGTATTTGTCGCCTTCATCACCGCCGGCTACCCGACCAAGCAGGACACCGTCGAGGTCATGCTCGCTCTCGAGCAGGGCGGCGCAGACGTCATTGAGCTCGGCGTCCCCTTCTCGGACCCGCAGGCAGACGGACCCGCCATCCAGCAGAGCAACCAGGTCGCCCTCGAGCAGGGCGTCGGCTACGTCCAGTGCCTCGACTACGTCAAGCAGGCCCGCGCCCGCGGCCTCAAGGCCCCCGTCCTGCTGATGGGCTACTACAACCCCACGCTCGCCTACGGAGAGGAAAAGGCGGTGCACGACGCCAGGCTCGCCGGCGCCAACGGCTTCATCATGGTCGACCTCCCACCAGAGGAGGCCGCCGACTTCCGCGGCTACTGCACAAAGGAGGGCATGTCGTTTGTCCCGCTCATCGCGCCTTCGACGTCGGTCGGCCGCATCCGCCACCTCGCCTCGCTCGCCGACTCGTTCATCTACGTCGTCTCCAAGATGGGCACCACGGGCGCATCGACCACCGTCTCGAGCTCGCTTCCGGACCTCCTCAACCGCATCCGTTCCATCACCAGCATCCCTCTCGCCGTCGGCTTCGGCGTCTCGACGCGCGACCACTTTATCGAGGTCGGCGAGCACGCAGACGGCGTCGTGATCGGCAGCAAGCTCGTCGCCAAGCTCAAGGAGGCCGGCGCCACTACCGAGGCCCGCGTCGAGGCCGCAAGGTCCTACTGCGAGGAGATCACCGGCAAAAAGGAGGGCGGCATCCGCCGCAAGCAGCCGCTCAACATCAAGGACGCCATCAACCAGCCCGACTCGATCCCCGTCCCCAAGGTCGACGCCGTCGTCAACGGCGACAAGGCGCCCGTGCCCGGGTTGGACCCCATCGTCGATGCCAACGGCAACGTCCGCCCGCCGCGCTTTGGCAAGTTCGGCGGCCAGTACATCCCCGAGGCCCTCTACGACTGCCACGTTGAGCTGGAAAAGGCCTACATGCACGCCCTCAGCGACCCGACCTTCTGGGCCGAGTTTGAGAGCTACTACGAGTACATCGGGCGCCCCAGCGAGCTCTACCCGGCCGACCGCTTCACCGAGGCGGCGGGCGGCGCCAAGATCTGGTTCAAGCGCGAGGACCTCAACCACACGGGCTCGCACAAGATCAACAACGCCATCGGTCAGGTGCTGCTGGCGCGGCGGTTGGGCAAGACGAGGATCATTGCCGAGACGGGAGCCGGCCAGCACGGCGTGGCGACGGCGACGGCATGCGCCAAGTTTGGCCTCGAGTGCGTCGTCTACATGGGCGCCGAAGACGTGCGGAGGCAGTCGCTCAACGCGTTCCGCATCAAGATGCTCGGCGCCAAGGTTGTCGCCGTCGAGAGCGGCAGCAAGACGCTCAAGGACGCCGTCAACGAGGCCAACCGCGACTGGGTCACCAACCTCGCCACGACCCACTACATTATCGGCTCGGCCATCGGACCGCACCCCTTCCCCTCGATTGTGCGCGACTTCCAGTCCATCATTGGCAAAGAGGTGCGCAAGCAGCTCATGGAGCGCCGCGGCAAGCTGCCGGACGCCATTGTGGCGTGCGTCGGCGGCGGCTCCAATGCCATCGGCATCTTCCACCCCTTTGTCAACGACCCGAGCGTCAGGCTGATTGGCGTCGAGGCCGGAGGCGACGGCATCGACACTGACCGCCACTCTGCGACGCTGTCCAAGGGCACGCCCGGCGTGCTGCACGGCGTGCGCACCTACCTGCTGCAGGACCAGTTTGGCCAGATTACCGAGACGCACTCGATCAGCGCCGGCCTCGACTACCCGGGCGTCGGGCCGGAGCACGCGTTTCTCAAGGACTCGGGCCGCGCCGAGTACATTGCCGCCACCGACGAGGAGGCGCTGCGCGGCTTCAAGATGTGCACCCAGCTCGAGGGCATCATCCCGGCGCTCGAGACGTCGCACGCGCTGTGGGCCGCCTTCCACCTGGCCAAGACGATGCGTCCGGACCAGGACATTGTCGTCAGCCTGAGCGGCCGCGGCGACAAGGACGTCGAGCAGATTGCCAACGCCATCGCCCACGGCGGCTGGGGCGAGAAGCTGGGCTGGAACATTGCCTGAGCGCCGGCCATGCCGCCATCTGATGTTGTCAGCAGTAGACTGTCCGCTTTCGCTGGGTGGTTGCGCGATGAACACCGATCTTTCTCTCTCTCTCTCCGCTTGTGCATCGGTACGGTCGCTCGCTCGGCGTGATGGCTGCTGAATCCTGTGGCTGCGAGCCACCGTGTGTGCGAGATGACCCAAGGATGTTGGAGCGGCGGGGAGGGGAGGATGGAGGAGCGGCAGCAGCGCGATACGCCCAGCTTCGAGATCAAGGCAAAGGGTGTGCCCTGAGTCGGTCTCGGTGGGGACCTCAGTAGTAGTGAATTCGACGAGGACGAGACGAAGGTCGGTCGATGTCTGCGGACTCGGCCAGGTCATCGTGCCGGTGGCTCATTGTCGACGAAGACGAAGGAGCTGAGTCGGTGCTGATGGACGGACTGCGCACAAAGGGGTTCTAGAAGCGACAAGCGAGCGAAGCCCCCTCGTGCCCCGCCTGCCCGCCTGCCCGCCCTGCCGTGGTGGGTTCTTGAGATGCGCGCAGAACACGTACACGTACGTCTTGTTTGAGCCAGCCAAGCAGGCCAGGCAGCGCGCGTGCAGGCCAGCCAGGCCGGGTTAGGCTCAGGGGTATCTGAGCAGGCCCACGTACGCCGATGCTGCGCTCCTGCAAATACAAAGGAGGCTGCCCTCGCCGCACACTTTGTATTGGTTTGGCTGCGCCGTCTTTGCCGCACTTCTGCCCGCTTATATCGACCAAGAGGGGGACCGGGGGGGGCGTACTTGGCACGAGCAAGCAAGACGGCAAGGCTAGCGCGCTGGCTTCGATGGTATGCTTGCAAGGTCTGTGGCGGTGGCGACGACGGCCTGGCGAAGGCGGGGCGGGCGCAAGCAGGCCAGCTGGCAGAGAGAGAGAGAGAGGGCCGGGGGGGCGAGACGAGAGGCTACCGGTACGCCGCTGCTAACGCTTAGGCTAGGTGAGGTGAGGGGCGTGCGTGGGTTTGGCTGGGCTGGGCAGGGCTGGGCTGGGCTGGGCCGGCTGTTTTGCCTGGCGCATGGCCCGCGCTGGGCTCGGCGTGCGTGGTTGCTCGTGTTGCCAGAGAGGCAGCCAAGGTCCTCGCAGCACGCCGAGCCAGCCAGCCAGCCAGCCAGCCAGGCCGGGAAAAAGAGCCAAGCAGGCAGCCAGGCAGGCAGGCGAGCCAAGCAAGCAGCAAGCAAGCAGGGGCGAAAGGCGGCGGCGGCGCAGGCGAGCAGCGGGCGTGCCGACCACGCCTTCCCTGCTGGGATCTTGGGCTGGCATCTTGGGCCTGCTGGCCTGGGCCTGGGCTCGGCGGGGCTGCGGGCTGGTGCCTGGGACCATGACCATCTCACCACCACCATCCATCTCACCGCCGACCCAGTCCATCCCCTGCCTGCGGCCTCTTCCTCTCCCTCTCTCTCACTTTCCCCCCTTTCCTCTCCCCCTTTCCCCCTCCAACCCTTCGCCCGCCTGCTCTTCTCGCCGCGCGCGACTTCACCACACGCTACCGCGGACCTTCGCGAGCCTCCCGCCGCCTTCGCATCGGAACCGGAACCCCCTCCTTGGGTCCACTCCCCATCCGACCCTCCGCGGCGACTCCGCACCTGCTTCTGCGCCGCGCAAACCCAACGCTCAGACCGCCTCGCTCGACCTCACCTGCAGCCCATTGCCGCCATCCGTCTGTGCATCTCAGCCTCTCGTCTTGCCACGTACACGCACGCCCATACCACGCACCGGCATCACCACGACGCACACGCACCACACACTTCGTCGCAATCAGGCAGGCCCACCTCCGTCAGCCATCTACGCAGCACCTAGTCGCACCAGCCCGATCTTTGCCTTCGTCGACTCCATCCTTCCCTCCCCACCATCCCGTCGCTCCCTGTGCCTCTGCGCATCAAGGTGATCCGAGCGCACTTCGTCTCGTTCCTCGTCCACCTTCCGCCGCCCCTGGTTCTGGACCTGCTTGCCTCCCCGTCGCCTGCTCCTACCGCCATCGCGCAGCAAGAGCCAGCACACCTGCGCCCCAGACATTGAGACTGGCTTCTACGACTGCCTCGATCTGTCCTTCGACCGGCCGAACCTGTCCCGCTCGCTCTCACGTCGTCGGACGGCCGAAACCTGCTTGGCGCCACCTTGCACTCTCCCATTGTCGCATCTCACCCGCTCGAACTTCTGCCTCGATCGCCGTCCCCTGCACGCCGGCCTTCAGCCCTCCTGCTGCCCCTCTGCCTCTCCCTTTCTGCGTAGAGCTGGCTCTCTACACTCGACTGGCACGCCTGCAACGCTTTGACGCTGCTCGGATCCCTCGTCGCACCTTTCACGCTCTCCTCCTGCATTGAGCGTCAGCCTCCATACTCCACGCCGAGACACCGTCAGCGCACGATAACCAGTCACATCCGCCGGCCTTGATCGATCATAGCGCTGGACCGCACGTCGACTGCCTACCACAGACACCGTCATCCCCAACCAATCTGACATTCGAGATCGCCGTGACCAACATGCATCAATCACCGCGGCGGTCGGTGATCAAGCATCCGCACAACTTTCAGGGCGCCCAGGTCATGTCGAGCAGCGCCGAGGCCCTGGCCGAAGCGAGCGGGCGCTACGATTCAGGCGCCAGCTACGCCCCTCGGCCCGATGCCGGCGCACCCGCAGCGGGGCCCGGTGCTGCTGCTGCTGCTGCGTCGTCGTCGGCGAGCAACACCCCAAACTACCTCAAGGGCGTCGACGGCATCGGCAACGGCAGCGGCGAGCTCGGCACGCTTGGCACCAACTTTGACCTCGGCGAGCTCGACTTGATCCCGCAGAGGAGCGCCCCTGCACCTCCCGGCGGCGCTGCGCTGTCGTCTGGCTCGCGCGCGCAGATCCACGGCGTCGCGGGCGGTCCAGCCAACGTGGCCGGCTCCTCGTCCTTTGTGCGGGCAGGCACGTCGACCGCGTCTCCTCCGACTGCCTCGGCACCGCTGTTCGCCAATGGCGCCCATTCCCCCGCCTCTGCGTTTGCATCGCCGTCGCAGCGCGTGGGCCCGAGCAGCGCTCGGCCCGGCCTGCCCCTGCAGACCTCGCTGCCCTTCAGCACCGGCGGGTTTGCTCACTCGTCGCCTACGCAATCCGGCAGCCCGCACTCGAGTCCGTGGTCGCCCACCAACTCGATGCCGCCACGCCCAGTGAGATCCAACACCTCGGCGGCCGACACGCTCCAGACGCTATCCACGATCCCCTCTGCCAATCCACCACCGGCGGCGCCCGCCATGGTGCAGCGGTCGCATTCCAGCATCGGCGCCCAGCACCACCACCACCACCTTCACCAGCAGCCGCCACAGGTATCTGGCGTCAACTCGCCCACGCTCGGCAGCCACACCTCGCCGACGTTGGAGGGCGGGCCTCACGACCACTTTTCGCCGACGTCCTCGACCGGGGCGTCATCGGCAGCGCAGAGCCAGTTCCTCTCGGCCAACCGCGACCGGGAAAAGAGCAGGGACGGCACCCTCACCCCGGGCGGCCGCAACACCTTCAAGAGCGTCTTTGGCGGCTTTGTCAACTCGATGAGTGGTGAGTCTCGGGCTGAGGCGGCCGTTTGCCGAATGTCGAGACCTTCCTCGCGCGTTCAGAGACTGATACAACGCCGTCGCCGTCCGTTTGTCCTTCTGCGCCACTCGTCTCTGCAGACGTCTTCTCGCAGCAGAAAAAGATTGAGATCTCCACGCCGTACGATCCCGTCCACCTCACACATGTCGGCTTCAACTCGGATACGGGAGAGTTTACCGTGAGTGCTCGCACTGGCGGAGCGCTCACTCGATATCCAGAGCTCCACTTGGCGTGGTGGCACCGCTTGCTGACTGCCTAGCTGTCCGACCGCTTCGTCGCGCCTTCTTTTTGATGTCCTCGTGTTCGTTTCCGTCCGCACAGGGTCTTCCAAAGGAGTGGCAGCAGCTGCTGCAAGAGTCGGGCATCTCGCGGCAGGACCAGGAGGCCAACCCTCAGGCCGTGATGGACATCGTCGCCTTCTACCAGGACGCCACCCAGCACGATAGCGAGCAGGACGCAGTGTGGAAGAAGATGGGCGGCGCAAAGGGTGCCGCCGCCGATTCGGGCAGCTGGCCGGACACTGGCAGCGAGGAGAGCGGCAGCAAGGGCGGCGTCGTCGGTGCCGGCGGCCAGATCCTCTACGAGAAGCCGCGTGCGGCGCCAGCCCCTCCCGGCGTTGTCTCGGTCAGGAAGTCTCCCCGGGTTCCCTCGCCTCCGGAGCATCGGCCAGGCGCCGCTGCAGGAGGAGCATCGGCGGCGACAGGGGAGGCGCAGTTCAAGCCCAGCCGACCGGCGCCTCCGCCTGGCGCACCGGCTTCCGCGTCGGACCGGGCGAACCGGTCCCCCTCGCTCAAGGCGCCTTCGCAGCCTTCGAGCGGCAAGACGTCGCCGGCAACGAGAGCGCCAGACATGCCCTCTACGGCACCGCGCCAGGCGCCCGCAGCGCCCGGCTCCGGCTCGTCGTCGGTGGCATCGTCGTCGGCCGCCGCCGCCAAGGCCGGTGGCGCCAAGACGACCGGCGCCGTGCCCCGGCGAAGGGAGACGAAGAAGAACACGGTCAAGGACTCGGACGTGATTGCCAAGCTCCAGGCGATCTGCACCGATGCTGACCCGACCAAGCTTTACCGGAGCCTGCAGAAGATTGGACAGGGGTGAGTAGCGCGCGTGCGCACCGAGGTCCGCCCGGCCGAGGTCCCGTGGCGGCGGCCCCGTAACCATCGCATCTCGCAGCAGTCGCTGACACCTGACGGCCGCGTTTCCTCTCCTCTGTGCACCTCGCCCTGCCCGTCGTCAAATCCCTTCCCGCCTGCAGCGCATCCGGCGGCGTCTTCACGGCGTACCAGGTGGGGACCAACCTGTCGGTGGCGATCAAGCAGATGAACCTCGAGCAGCAGCCCAAGAAGGACCTCATCATCAACGAGATCCTGGTCATGAAGGAGTCACAGCACAAGAACATCGTCAACTTTATCGATTCGTTCCTGTTCAAGGGCGACCTGTGGGTGGTGATGGAGTACATGGAGGGCGGCAGCCTGACGGACGTGGTGACGTGCAACATCATGACCGAGGGCCAGATTGCGGCCGTGAGCCGCGAGGTGCTCGAAGGGCTGCGGCACCTGCACGAGCACGGCGTCATCCACCGCGACATCAAGTCGGACAATATCCTGCTCAGCCTGACGGGCGACATCAAGCTGACCGACTTTGGCTTCTGCGCGCAGATTGGCGAGTCGCAGGCCAAGCGGACGACGATGGTGGGCACGCCGTACTGGATGGCGCCCGAGGTGGTGACGCGCAAGGAGTATGGGCCCAAGGTCGACATCTGGTCGCTGGGCATCATGTGCATCGAGATGGTTGAGGGCGAGCCGCCGTACCTCAACGAGAACCCGCTGCGCGCCCTCTACCTGATCGCCACCAACGGCACGCCCAAGATCCACAACCCGGACAACCTCTCGAGCACCTTCCGCGACTTTTTGCGCACCTGCCTCGACGTCGACGCCGAGAGGAGGCCCGACGCCGTCGGCATGCTCGGCGTGAGCGACAGGGAGCGGCGGCGGCCAGCCTGCCTAACGAGGCGAGGCGAGATGAGATGAGGCAATCTACTGACACACCTCCCTGCCTTTGATCCCGGCCCCCTCTGCTTTCGTTCTCTGGGACGCCCATGACCCCCACAGCACGCCTTCCTGCGCCGGTCCGAGAGCCTTCGGACGCTTGCGCCGCTGATCAAGGCGGCGCGCGAGCAAGCTGCGAAGAAGTGACGACGGGTCGCGCCAAGGCCTCATCACCTGCTCTGCCTCGAATGCCTGCCTGCCTGCCTGCCTGTCTGCTCGCTCGTGCTCTGGGCTCTGGGCTCTCTTTCCCTCTCTCTCCCTCTCACTGTCTCGAATCCGCCTCTTGTGGTATCTATGCGCGCCCGAGCGTCTCTCCGGCCCCCTGCTTTCCTGCCCGCAGCCCGCAGCCCCGCACTCTGGCATACCTATTCCCCCTCGCCCTCTCCTCCGCACCCCATCCGGCGCCTTCCCTGCTGTAGAATCCCAGTGGCGCCCACCAGACCATCTCAAGAACGAAAAGCGAGCAAACTCATGACGTCCTTCATCTGATCGTCTTGTGCCTCGAAGTAGGGCAGGGGAGGGGCTTGGCTGGTATCTTCTTGTCCCTTGGGAGGCGATCGGCGCGTGTGGACGAGAGGAGATGCAATGGGCCCGCTCTCTATTAAACCAGGCGAAAATCTCGGACGAAAATCGCGGGCGTCCGTGCCAGACAGAGGCTCAGCTGGGGTGGCTGGTTGGCAGACGGAAGGGTCCATCGCGGAGGACTCTCCTGCGGCCTTTCGGAATCGGATTCAGGCGAGCAAGCAAGCGGGCTGGGAACGAGGTGATTCAGGCACGACCCAACGGACAGATAGATAGACAGCCGCCTTTGCGTGCGTGGTGCGTGCCACCTTGCTGGCTGGGCGTTGGGCCTACTCGTGCGTCTTGGCGACTCGAAAGCTGGCGGAGCGCGCGGTGGCATGCGCATCTGCCATATGATGTATGTGTCTCTCGCCCGATGAGATCACGTACGCTCTGTCGCGGGTGATGCTCTGAGCGCTACGGTCACGATGAGCGGGTGCGGGTCGGCGGGGACGAGGTGCAAACGAGCTCTTGGTTCAGTCACATCACATCGTTGGGCAGCGCGCGACTTTGCTTGCCGCTTGCTTGCTTGCCTGGCTGCCTGGCCTCGGGGTTGGTTGGCCTGGCCTGCCTGGCTGTTGCGTGTCTTCTGGCCTGCCGCGCTGGGCCGGGCTTGCGGCCGTGTGAAGGCACAGAGGCAGGCCAAGGCAGACAGGGCGCGGTGTTGTTCTCGCTGCTGGCCCCCCCTGGGCCTGGCCCCGCTGCTGGACCGCCTCTGGGCTCGTGCCTGGCCCAGCTGCCTGGCTGCTTTTTTGAGCTGGCCCCGCCGCTGCCCCGTCCTGGCTTGGCCTGGCCTGCCCTCTCTCTACCTGGCCCCGTGGCCGTGGACGTGACTTGCCTCGGCAGCAGCAGCAGCAACCAGCAGCAGCAGCCTCGTCGTCGTCTTCGTCTTCGCCGTCGCCGTCGTCCGCCGCTCACCAACCACGGCTTCTCGCACACACTACTCCCTTCACACAGCCGCACCATCACCTTCCCCGACCGCCACTCGCGTCGTCGCCCTTTGTCGTTCGTCGCAGTCGCAGTCGTCGGCACCGCTGCCGCCGCCAGCCCCGGCTCACCGCAAACAAGGCCCCTCGCTCGACCAGAGCACGGCTGCCCTTTGCCCATACCCCCCGGTCCCTCTCTTTCTTTCAACGACGCCCTCTGAGCGCTCACACGCACGCACGCAACCTCGCCACATCTCGCTCGCCCAGAAGCGGCGCTGTGGAAATCGACAAGTACCGTCTCTCCCTTGCCCCTACCCCCTGCCCTAGTCGCTCCTTTGGACAGCTCCCTGCACTCTCTCGTCCATCATCCTGCCATCACCCGCTGTGCAGCACACCTTCTCACTCGGCCAGCGAGACCGTCAACCGCCGCCTCTCATCGCTTTCTTTTCCGCATCCGCATCGCCTCGATACCACACCTTTCCTCAACCAGGACCCAGTCTTCATACCCCTTTCGAGCGTCCCAGCTCTTCTTTGCTCGACCCCCTTTCAATCCGCCAGTTCCCTCGTCCGTCCTTCAGGCGCTTCCCTGCCTCCATCAAACTCGCCACCGATCGCCCGCCGCGTTCCCGGACACGCTCGTGGGGCTCTCGAAGCTCAGCACTCCCACCTCTCCTCCGTCTACCTCGAGGGACGCTGCCGCTTGCCGTCACCCACGTTGAACTCTCATCCCCTCGCTGAGCACTGGGAGCTCTCATTCGTCATCTTCGCTCCATCGTCGCCCGCACTCGCCGCTGTTGATGAACCCAGTCGCTCAGCCAGCTTCCAGCCCAACTCCGTAAATCTACACGCCACCGCCTTCCATCCGAGCCAGCGGAAGATCCAGCCCCACCGCCGCCGATCGAAGCATCCTATTCTGTCGCCATCTTTCGGAAGGTGAGTGAGCTCTCAGGTCGTTCTGGCGGGTGGATCTTGCACAGACTGGGCGCAAGCCTCTTGCGGCAGTGCATCGACCTCCCGGACCATACTATCGGCTTGACGCGGTACTGCAGCCCTGCGCTCGGCCCAGTGAGCATTAGCTGACACTTCGACCCCTTCGCCACCGTTCTGCTCCTCCACGCCGCTCGCAGCACGCCGGGACTGCCACTCCGCCGCCGGCTGTTTGCGGAGCGAAGCGACGTGAAGCGCCGATCGGATCGCTCGCGCTACAAGCCTCGAAAGCCCGCTCGTCGTTCGGGAAACGTTGCTGCCCAGCCGACGAGCCACGATGGCATCACGGACCGCCTACGAAGAGCCGGAGCGCCGCTCGAGTGCAAGGCGACGTGTCAGCTCGACGCTCGACGGCCTCCGATCGACCAGCGCCTCGTACGCCTCCCAGACGGCCAGCGGCCCGCCAGAGTCGAGTGGCCAGCCACGCCGCACCCGTCTCACTTCGATATCAGGCCTTCCAGGCCCTGCCGCGCCTTCAAGCTCGGCGGGGACCCGACTGCGTACGCTGTCCACCTCGGCCAAACCTGGCGCCGCAGCTGCTGCCGCGGCAGCGCGCAGGGCCGAGGCGGAAGCGTCTTCAAACAGCGTATCGACCACCAGCTCGACGTACAGCTCGCGCAACGCCTCGGCCGCCTCGTCGTCCAATCTTGGCTCACGCCGCACTTCCTGGACGCCCCAGAAGACGGCTCAGAACCAGGCCACAGCGCTGACCGAGCCCAGCAACGTGGCCGGCAACCTCGCGCGGCCATCGACTGCCTCGCGCATCCCGTCCATCAGCCGCGGCACGGGCACCGGGTCTTCGCGCCTCGGCGATGCGCTGCTCGGCCAGAGGAAGGCGAGCGACTCTTCGGCGAGTCGCTCAGCGGCGCTGCCGACCTCTGGATCGACATCCAGCGTAAGCCTTCCTCGCAGACGAGATAGCCTCGTCGGTCCTCGACAGTCGAGCTTCGTTTCGACGCAGCAGCAGCAGCACCTGCCTGCGCCATCATCGACGCTGCGGCCGAGTGTGTCCAACTCGAGTCTCACTGAGTCGGCCAGCATCACTTCCAGCATGGGCCCGCCTTCGCTCTCGGCCTCGACCTCGAGCTTCGCCACCGCCTCCCGCCCTCGAGACACGCTGACGTCGTCCAGCTCCTTTACCGCTGAACGGACCACATCGAACGGCAGGATCCGGGCATCGCCGTCACTGCCGCAGTTTGACGGCGGCTTTTCGGCGCCGCTGTTCGAGGGTCTGGCAACGACGTACGAGAGCAGCGATAGCCTGACGCACGCGGCCGAGGAGAATGCCACGCCGATGGCGCACTCGCAGCCCTTCCCCGCTTCCAGCCAACCACCGGAGGCTGGCACCAAGGCGACCGTGGGCACGGCGCCTCGGCGGGCCAAGCCCAATCTGCACCTCGGCCTGCGCGAGTCGCCGCAGATGTCGTCGCGCTTCTCCAACTTCTCGTCGGCCGTGGGCACGCCGGACACCACCGACGACGCCAGCCGGATCGTCATGATGCGCAAAAACTCGACCTACAGCAACTCTAGCACCAGCGGGCTGAGCGACAGCCTGGCCAAGAGCGGCTCCGAGCAGAGCATGGCGGGCCTCGGCATCGGCCTGCCCTCGACCATGCAGCCGCCCCCGCCGCCAATGCCGCCGCCGCACAGCGGCAGCCGGTCGGGCGATCTCAGCACGTCGCTGTCGAGTGTCGACCGCAACCCGTCGTCGTACAACAGCTCAATGCCACAGACGCCGGACCGCTTCGGCGAGCACGCCACGCCCAACGCCACGCCGATGATGTACGACCGCGCTGGCCAGATTGGCATCGGGGAGCTAGCGACCCCGCGCTGGAACTTTCCCTCGTCGAAGCTGCCGAATTGGTCGTCGCACACCTCGAGCCTGGCCGAGGCTGGAGGGGCAAACACAGCTTCTGCCAACGGCGTTGACCCCATGCCGCGATCGGTAAGCGGCGCGCTGAGCGACGATGGAGCGGTGCCCCTGCGGTCGCTCGTCGGAACGGCCGGCAAACCGCGCGGCCCTTCCGGTAACAGCCTTGTCGAAAACGCCAGCCACTTCCCGTCGGCGCTGCAGAGGCGGGCCGAGGCCAGCCGTCACTCGCGGTCGATCTCCTACTCATCGATCAGCAGCGCCCAGCGGAGCATCCAGCCGCCGTCCGAGGACCCGCGTGGCGGCCTGCCCATCTCGCCCTCGGTGCCCGCGGTGCCCCGGTCGTTGGAGGGCAGCGTCTCGCTGCAGGCTTTGGCGCGCGGCTTTGGCGCCTCGACGTCGGAATTCCTCTCGGACCTGGATGGCGTCGGCCCAGGAAGCCCCCAATACTCGATCGACGCCATGACCGAGTCAGAGCACAGCGTTGCCAACACCGACGATGCCTCGTCGACCGAAGCACCCAAGCAGCTGGACCACCTGGTACCCAAGGGCGCCGATGCGATCCTTCTCGAGGCGTCGCGCCGGTCGCCGCGGATCGGAGACCTGTCGTGGTCGCTCGGCGAGACCGGGCCGTTTGGGACCGACGCTGGCGGACCGGCTCCAGACACCGCCGACCAACAGCAGGCGAAGGCGCCTGCAGCAGAGGGGATGGCATTTGACAGCGGCGTGCTCAACGCGCTTGAGAGCGACGAGCAGTGGCGCGGCAGCTTCGACCTCAACGCTGCCATCACCGAGCTGCTCAACGATCACGACAAGCGACGGCAGGATCGCAAAGGGGCCGGACAGGAAGGCTCCTCGAGCCCTTCGGCCGAAGTCGACGGCGCTGCTTCGCCGTCGAAGCTGGATACGCTCTCGGAAGAAGGCAGGCCGAGCGACGAGGCCCCTCTCGGGCGTCCGGATGGCGAGGTCCGTGGCCTGCCCCAGATCCCTGCTACCTTGTCGCATCATGGTCAGCACGAGCAGCATACGCCGTCCGCGGCCCGTAGGGCCATTTCAGACTCGCCCAAGGTCCGCGACAGTGCACTTCCGTCCCGGCGCAGCCGACTGGTCAGCACTGCCGGCAACTCAACGGCGGGACTCCCTGCAAGCGCCAGCGCCACCAGCCTCGGCTCTGCTTCTGGCGCACCTGCTTCCAGCACTTCGTACCCGCTCGGCGCCAACGCCAAAGTCGGCCCACGACTCAGCTCGATTGCTCATTCCACCTCAGGCACCACTCGCAGCAAGCGCTCCTCGTCGGCGAGCATCGGGCAGTCGCTGCTGCGCGGCTCGATGCCTCTGGGCGCGGCCGAAGAGTACGGCAGCATCCTCAACTCTGCCAAGGAGGATGCGGCCGCCGATGCGCTGCGGAAGCTGGACGGCCTTGGCGGCACGCCGCGGAGCAGCCGCGACAGCCGTTCAGACCTGCCAAAGAGCCCCCGCGTCAGCCGACAGATGTCGCGGCCGGGCAGCGCCGGTCGAAAGACCCCCGGCACCGGCACCGGTACTGGCACCGGCAGCCGACCCTCGTCGCCGTCGAGTCGCGTGCGTCGCTCGTCCAACTACGACTCTCCGGCCTCGCGTGGCATCGACAAGCAGCTGCGCGGCGATGAACCGGGTAGCAGGAGCAGCGTCGTTCGTTCCTCCCGCATCCTGTCCAAGGCCAACAAGGCGCAGGACGACTCCGGCAGCGCACCCCTCAATGGCAACGGCGACGGCACGTCGAGGACCCCGCCTTACGCCAGCCCCCGTCTGCGTCGTTCTCAGCTGCCTCCACTGCCGCAAGGTGATGTGGCTGCGAGCCACCGCATGTCGCAGGGCATCGGCATGGGGGCCACCGCGTCCATCCGCGAGGTCGGCGCCCCGAGCGTCAGCCGATCTGGGTCGCGCTCGAAGCGAACCAGTGCCGCCAGCGACGTCTCGGCAGCCCAGCTCGAGGCATCGAGGCAGGATGGCGGCAGCGGCGGCGCTGCAGGCAGTAGCAATGGCGCGGGGATCGACGAGGTCGATTCTCTGGGTCTTCCAAGCCGCGGCAGCGGTATCCCACCCGTGCCTCCGCTGCCCAAGGTCTGGGAGGCGTCCAGGTCGGCTTCGCTCCACTCGGAGGCGTTCGGCTCGGCTCAGGCGAGCCCGATCATCTCGGCCAGCCAGAGCTTGATCTCGACCTCGGCCGACACGTCCGAGGAGCAGCAGCGGCCGCAGCAGCAGCCGCAACAGCAGCAGCAGCAGCAGCAGCAGCCGCCGCAAGGCTATTCGGAACCGCCACAGCAGCGGCAGCGAGAGCCATCGGCCCCTCCGCAGCGGCCGACCCCATCGAGCCTTTCGCCGAGGCAACCGACGAGTCCCCGACTCGGCACGGGCAACAGCGAGGCTGGCCACTCGAATCTGCGCAAGTGGAGCTTCCCCAACCTCGCCAGCGCCCTTAACCGGAGCCCCTCAACGTCGGCGTCGACGGCGACGCGGTCCAGGCAGCCCAGCACCTCGGCGTCGATGTCGGCGCTGAATGCGGTCGCAGCGGAAGAGGCCAAGCAGCGCCGCGGCACCGTGTACGGCGACGGATACAGCCGCACCGAAGCCGGTGGGGCGATGGAGCCCGGCATGGCGGCGGCCCGAGGCAGCGTCAACTCGATGGCCCGGATCGACGTGCTCAAGGCCAACAAGGGCGGCCCGGACGTATCAACGGGCAGCCCGCAGAGCAGCCGGGTGTCGAACGACACCAACAACAGCAGCCCAAGGGTGCGACGGACGCCATCGTTTTTCCAGCGCGCCACGAAGCGGTCCAACGGGTCGATCGAGACGACGCAGAGCTCGCTGCACGCCAGCGGTGACGCCGACGAGAGCAAGTCGACGATCGAGGTGACGCCGCCCAACTCGGGCCGCCTCTCGCGCAAGTCGATCATGGGTCTTGCCGGAGGCCTGCTGGGCCGCTCGACGTCGAAGCGCAATGTCGAGGTGCCCGCCGGCGATGGCAGAGGCACGACGACATCGTCTGCGGCCGCCAACGCCAGCACGACCCCTGGCCGCGTTGCCAGAGCGGTCGGTGGAACGTCCGAGAGCTCGCAGCAGAAGGGCACGTCGTCGACGGCGTCGAGGCGGATCAGCCTGGTCGCCCGTAAGCGCGGCAAGACGCTCCCCTCGTCCGCAGAGCCTCCGGTGGTGCCCGCCCTGGCACTGCCCAAGGAATCGCCCGAGGCAGAGAAGGCTCCAGACGCCAGAGAGGCGAAAGCGACCCCGGCCAACGTTTCGACCGACAGTGCGCCCGTCCTCCGCGCGCTTCACCCCTCCTCTTCGTCTTCGAGCCTGTCCAACTCGATGATGGCCGACATCGACCGAGCCGCTCGACTTGCTGCCAGCTACGACTCGCAGGCGACCTACGAATCCGCCAACAACGAGATCGAGGAGATCGCCGACGGCGCGTCGGCATCTGGCGTCAGCCGCGGCAACTCACCGACCAAGTCGTCCATTGCGTCGTCGTCGGCGGCGGGCGGCAGCCGTATTCCGCGCGCTGCGACGATCCGGTCGTCGACCAAGACGCTCAGCGGCACCGCCAGCAGCAGCGTCGCCAGCAGCAGCAACGGCCACGCGTCGATCTACGCGACGCCGCAGCAGAGCTCGATACGGGCCATAGGCAGCTCGGCCAGCAGCGTGACGGCGTCCAAGGCGGCGTCGTCGTCGCTCGCCGCCAGCCTGGGCATCCAGCCCACCGAAGACGACTCGCTGTCGGCCGTCAGCTCCGACGCGACCAACGGCACCGCCAAGCCTGCTGTCGCTGGCACTGCTGCCGCCGCCGCGGCGACGCCGGCCAAGTCGGTCACGTCGCCGTCGCAGAAGCCGCTCTCGTCTTCGCTCGTCTCGATCCTCAACGCGTACGCGGCAGCCAAGACGCCGGCCGAGGTCGAGGGCGTGCTTCGCCGCGCGCGCATCGCCGCCTACTCTTCGACGCTGACGGCTAGCGAGCGCGAGGTGCTCAACAGCCTCGGCAGCCGCAACGAGCAGCACAAAAAGGCCGACAGCACGCCGAACGGCACCCCGTCGTCGTCCACGGTCGGCAGCAAGGCCAGGGCCTCGGGCATGACCGAGGCCGGTACGCCCGCCCGCGCCGCCAAAGTCTTTTCGACGTCGAGCTCGGCGGCCAACACGCCGGCCAAGGCCGACACCAGCGTCACGGTCCCCGTGCGCAAGGTGCGGGCCTCGCTGAGCGCCGCCTCCGGGGCTGCCGCGCGCGTGTCGCGGGACACGGCCAACTCGGTGGCCGGACGGTCGTCGCGGCAGACGACGTCCACGCTAGGCAACCGCAGCCCGGCGCCATCGGACAGCGGATCGGCCACGTCGTCGACGGCGGCGGCCTCGGTGCTCGACGAGGAGGAGCGGCTGGGCGACCTCGAGATGGAGGCGTACATCAAGCGGTCGCAGGCCAAGAAGCTGGCGTCCGGCGCAAAGCAGGCCGACCTCGACAAGCTGCTCGAGTTCCCGGACCCGGTGCCGCCCAGCCGCACGCTGTCGCCGAGGCAGGCCGAGGTCATGTACGGCAACAAGATGTCGCCGTACGAGCTGCACGAGATCTTCAGCTACCCCGAGATCTTCTACTGCGGCCAAAACGCGTCGCAAAAGCACCGCGCCACCCTCGACAAGCCCAACAACAACCACGGCTTTGACGACGAGCGCGGCGATTACCTGGTCACGACGCGCGACCACCTGGCTTTCCGGTACGAGATCATCGACCTGCTCGGCCGCGGGTCGTTTGGCCAGGTGCTGCAGTGCCGCGACCACAAGACGGGCCACACGGTCGCCATCAAGCTGATCCGCAACAAGAAGCGCTTCCACCACCAGGCGCTGGTCGAGGTCAAGATCCTCGAGAGCCTGGTCAAGTGGGACCCCGAGGACCAGTACAACGTGCTCAAGATCACCGAGTCGTTCCTGTTCCGCAACCACCTGTGCATCGCCACAGAGCTCTACAGCATGAACCTCTACGAGCTGATCAAGGCCAACAGCTTCGCCGGCTTCTCGACCAAGCTCATCCGCCGCTTCACGACCCAGGTCCTCGCCTCGCTCTCGCTGATGCGCCAGCGCCGCATCGTCCACTGCGACCTCAAACCCGAAAACATCCTCCTCAAGCATCCCAGGAGGAGCGGGATCAAGGTCATCGACTTTGGATCGAGCTGCTTCGAGCACGAAAAGGGTGAGTCACCGTGGCCGCGCAGGTGATCTGCCGACCATGGTCCTTTGCCCCCTGTCGCAGAAGGCGCTGACGGCGCCCCTCTCTCTTCCTTATCCACTCTCGGCACGCAGTCTACACCTACATCCAGAGCCGCTTCTACCGATCGCCCGAAGTCATCCTTGGCATGAACTACCACACAGGTGAGTCGCCGAGAGAAAGACTCTAAACTCACCCGCTCAGCCCAAGACGGTCCTCCGAGCTTCGCACGCTAATCTCGTCCCTCCATCCCCGACTCTTTGTGCCCGCCTACAGCGATCGACATCTGGAGTCTCGGGTGCATCATCGCCGAGCTCTACACAGGATACCCGCTCTTCCCTGGCGAAAACGAGCAAGAGCAGCTGGCGTGCATCATGGAGGTGCTCGGCGTGCCGGACCGCTACCTGATTGAGCGGAGCACGCGCAAGAAGCTCTTCTTTGACAGCACGGGCGCGCCCCGGCCGGTCGTCAACTCGCGCGGCAAGCGCCGCCGCCCCGGGTCCAAGACGTTGGCGCAGGCGCTCAAGTGCAACGACGACCTGTTTGTCGACTTTGTGGCAAAGTGCCTGATCTGGGATCCAGAGCGGCGGATCAAGCCGGACCCGGCGATGCGCCACCCGTGGATCCAGCAGGGCCGCCGGCTTGCCTCGGTCGCCGCGGCCGCCTTGTCGT